CGACGTTACCGTTGCCGAACAAAACGATGCGCATGAACGCGCTCACAAGCGACCCCGATATCTCTTCGCACATGCGTATATCCGAGATATCGCGTTATAATTTGTTGTTACTGCCGGCGACGTCATACTGAAACATTCATGCGTCTCGGCTTTCGTTGCCCCCCTTGCGGCCACGAACGGCCACACATGCGCGTAAATCGATATTGCTCGTTGGCCAAAATCAAAGAGTGCTAGGTCGCGTTTGCGTAGGATAGAAAATGGAAAATTATCCGATCACGAAAGATTCAACAACTTCTACGAATAAAATCAACGATATCGCGATTCGCCATTTCTTAAACTGATCTAACACAAATCTTCTCCAACATCCAAACGTCCCACGACAATTTTGTCGAAAAATGACAAGTCTTTCGCCGACCAACCCGACCACACTTGTAACTTAACTTGTACATTGTAAAGTGACACCGCACAGAGACAAAAAAAAAATAAAAGTAGCAGCAATTTCGATACATAAAAAATATAAACAATATGTAAAAAATATATAAAAAAATACAAGTAGCAGCTTATTCGATATATTCTTAATTCCTTCTTCGCGGCAAATCGCCTCGTACGATTACCGATTCTGAAAGTTTCACGGACACCTCGATAAGCTCGCATAACACGATGGTGGAAATCAATTACCGCTTTCTCGCTCCCTCGAAACCTCACCCAGGCGCGAAAAAGGGAAAATCGTCGAAATGTTTTCCGCCTGTGTTTACACCTTCTCCGATCGCCGGCTGGAAAGCGCACCGCGGCAACGCGTAAATATCCGTGCACGGCCCGGAACAAAGAAACTCAATGCCGCAATGCTTCCGAGCCGTTTTTATGGTTTACTCCAAATCCCGTTAGAGGATTTCACCTCGGACGTTCGCCGCGGCGTTAAAAAGAAACGACAAAGCGTGTCGGGCGGGGTCGACAGCCGTGGTTTCGATATCTCGAATCCGAGAAGGAACGAGCGTACGCGCGCGCGCGCCAATCGAAGGCAAAGCGATATTTATTTTCCTTCCGCGAAACGCTGCAACGCGACGCGAATAGCTATCCGGTATAATCGATGACAAAAGAGACAACAGGAGCTGAACGCGTTCCGGAGCTGTTACGAGCATCTATCGATCCGTACATAGCCCCCCTCCCTCTCTCTCTCCTCCTCGCCGCTCTTCCGTCGCGCGTTGTGTGTATAATCGGCTCGTCTCGGTTCGAGATTCGATTTGCAGCTCATCTATCGTAATAAGCTATTACTACGACTCGTAGTATCCGCGACCGTTGTGTAACAATATTTTTGCATGGCGTTAACTCCGTCGCAATTAATCGCTCATTAGTCCGCCGTTATCCGGGACGGACTATCCGGGGCGATCTTCTCCTCGCCGAGCGAGCACGCGCGAAAACATAGCAATTCACTCACACCGCGGTGAGGAGAAATAGACCGAAAAATATAATAACGAGAACACACCGAGGTGTAATGAGGCTCGTGTTTTCTCCAAGAACGAACCATAATACCTCACACACGGCGCAACAATGATAAAAACGCGAGATATGTCACGTATGAACGCACCTGAGCAGATGCCGGAAAGATTACAAAATTCGAAACAAAATTCACGCGCGGCTACACGACAAGGGGGGGAGCAAGAGGCGAAGGTGATGGAGGAAGAAGAGGAAGAAGAGGACGAAGACGAGAGGTGTGCTCGCCGGGGTACGGAGGATACTACTTGAATAGGAACCGGAACTCGCGGTCCGTGCTCGGAATTGACTACACGATTGCACGGGTTGCGCATATGAATCGAACAAGAGACGACCGGAGGGTTTCCTATCGCGAGGAGGGGAAGGGGGAAGGGGAAAAGAGAAAAGAGAGGAGAGCGAGGGGTTATCGGCTCATCATTGATTTCTTCGATGTACGAAAATAAATCCCGTCTGTACACAATGAAGGGGAAAACACGCGAATGACCCCCGGCGGACCGGCAAAACCGCAGAGAAGAATTGGAAGTCGCGCGACGACGCGCGGGCCGCGAGAGGAGCGAAATGATGCCGCGAGAATCGGCGGAATTAACGACGAATCGTTCCCCCATATGAGGAGGGAGAGAGCTGCATAAATGTAAAGCCACGCTGCGTAGAATTAAACGCACCGGTAAACGATCGCTCCCCCTTCCCCCCGCGAGGGAGAACCGAGTCTGCGGATATCTCTGTGGTCATGCGAAATCGTATTTGCAAGTCGCGCAAATGACGATCGCACAGAATGCACGTGACGGATGTCACTGATCGTGTAGTATTCGATGTAGTATTGTTACACGAAACACTGATCGATGTAGTATTGTTACACGAAAAAACACGAAAGAACGCGCGATTATTCGATCTTCATCACCAATCATCGTCGTATTTGTCATAATTTTTTTTTATCGGGATTTATAATAATAATAACAACCGCGCGCGTTACTTCATATTATCAAATTTCATATTATCGAAATTTCATATTATTTCATATTATCATTCGTCGCTCGTATTTCTTCATTGCACTATCTATGTACTATGTATGCTTTTAATATCAGTAACAGTTAATTAGAGAGGAATTTATCTCAGAGCGCAATAATAATTACATATAAATACGTGTAATAAAGGTATCGCCATATAATAATATAATAATAGTAATATAAGTAAAAATAATATAAATAAAAGGTATGTCGTGAAAAAAGTAGCTGGCCAAAAAATTTGGCCTATGCCGAAGAACGTACTTCGGCTTCGTCTTCGTCGCCGAACAAACTGAAAATAGTAAATGAACTGAAAGAGAATTAATTGCGTGCTCCTCTCGCGCGATTCGCGCGCAAGGAGGACGGGAATAAGAAATGCCCTTTTTGCCAGGCAACGACAGGTCCGTAATTCTCTTTGACCCTGCTAACCTTGAATCGAGCGCGACGACGCGTCACGTAAATACCATCGCGTAAATACAAAAAGCGGAATGTCCATAAACTAGGAGCGACAATAAATATCGTGTGCTGTCGCGCGACTTTAAACCGGTGTTTTTGTTTCGCTTTAACGGTGCGTCCGGTAATAAAATCGAAGTGAGGTTTGTACAATAAAGTCGTATTTTATAATGCGCGTATCTGATTCCTCGCAAATTACGTGCCGCATCGTAACGACGAACAATACGTTCTATCACTCCGCAAAAATAACTGACGTAACCGTCCAGTATCTCCCGTGAAAACTTGCGAAGAAAAAAAGGAAAAAGAAAACAAAGAAACGTTTCCCTAACTTGTAGGAATATTCACGCGTTATACATAGATGGCCGTGTACCATGAAATATCGCAAGAACATGATGGAGCAATAATCGCAATTCCGTCGGTGGGAAAAATGTCGAGAGACGCGCCATGTAAAATCGCGGAGAGGAGCCGACATACATTGTCGCTGTAATGCCGGGTGACACGAACGTTCGCGCACGAAACATCCGAACAGCTCAACGTCGTCGTCTGTCATCGACGAACGACGACGAAGGGAGGAATTTCAGGGAAACGAGAAGGCGCTTTATGCTGCGCGCTCGCACAGCGTTGTGCCACATCTATCTCTATCTCTCTCTCTCTCTCTCTCTCTCTCTCTCTCTCTCTCTCTCTTTCTCGCTCGCTCTCGCTCTTCCTTTCTCCCTCTGACAAAATTGCGATGAAAAATTGGCGTGTTTGTGGCACACGCGAATCGAGATTGACCGGCCGGCGAGAGACGGTGCTCCCGGAATTCGCACGTGCCGTGAGATAATGCTCCGAGTCGGCAACGGTAGCCGGCTTCTTCCTCAAGCCGGCTCCGGACGCGCCAGGTTCTCTCGCGCGATCTCTCGCCAACTTTTTGCGATCCGAGCGGTACAGAATCGCGGCACGTGCGTATTCGTGAGAGAACCGTGCGAAATGCGTTTCTGCACTCACCGATGGCGCGACGAAGTGTATCCTCGGCAGCTAGATCCGCGCACAGAAGAAGACGACACAGGCCTCCGAGACACTCGCAACGAAGACACTTCACTCGCCGAAGACGCCGGTCACTGCGTCCGACTTTGTTGACTCGACTGCGCTTGTGCGTCCCCGGCCAGTTATGAACGCTCGGCTCGTGACGATGGCGCCATCCAGCGGCTGGCCGACGCAACCGAGCGCGTTGGCGCGAAAGCGAGAAAGCGCGCGAAATTCGTGGCGCGCTCGGCTGACGTACGCTTCGATCCTCGAATTTGGGGGACCTCGACATGTATACACAGAACATTATATTCTATATGCTTATATATAACTTTAGGTTATGTTCGATTCTGGAGATTCTGAGGGAATGATACTATCGTTATCATCGCGACATGCAAAAGATCAATGTGCTTCGACAATTTCAACATGGCCGATTGTAATATTGCAATTTTGGGATATTAGTTGCTGTCTCATACATCTCCTAACCTTGATTTCGATAATGCGACTTATACAGTTGGAGACTCGATCTAATATCACAATTGAATCGATCTTAAACGTACCTGACTTTCTTTTATTACAAGCAATGCAAAATCGTGACTTACGCGCGTCGATCAAGCGTAGGCCGTGCTTTTCTCGAAGCTGCCAGCCACGACTCAGGCTACTCGGCGGTGATGGGGCCTGCACTTCGCGGAATCCGAAACGAGGATACGCGCGTTCCGCAGGAAGAACGAAGTTTAACGTTGTCGTGGCGAATTTGACGGTTGCGAAGCAGCCACGGAACGAGGACACGAACGGACAATGGATTTTCGTGACAGGAACTGACGCGAACCGGACGTTACAAACAATGGCGTCCCGAGGCACTTTGGCGCGCATATCGATTACGCGTCGACCAATCATTTCGCTTCCATAAGTCGCGGAATACTTCGCGTTCCTCAAAGCGTTAAGATCGATTATCTTGTCGTTATCGATACATCTGAATATCGATTTTATTAGGTTATATTTGAATCTTCCTAATTCCACAATCTAAATGTTCTTATTGCCTAATATTATTCAAACGATATCGCTTTCAGACCTTGAGAATTGTTTCCGTAATTTGCGTTACAGCATAAAGGGTAAATCTAGGTTCTTCTTTCCCTGTCCCACGTACAAGAAACCGTAATGCGGAGAATCCAACTTATGAAAAAACGTCATTCCATGCCAATACAAGCTGTGCAAAATGGCCAGACGGCCACCCAGCAAAAATTGCAAGTCCCAGCACCCTGAAAATAAAAGCGGACGCGTGGCAGCGACGCAATGAAGATTTCACTTTGTCGATGCAATGTTAGTGGGTGTCCTTGCGGTACCCGTTTCTCCATTCCTGCCTCCGGAGCAGAGAGCCGTCGACTTGATCACTGCTTTGTTTTACCTTGAGGCACGTCCATATCCACGCTGTCTAAAAAGTCCAACGCGTAATTGTAGTCGGGTCGGGATAGCAAGTTGGTGTTCCACTTCTCCTTCGGAAAGCGAGCGTGCAAGTAGGACTTCAAGCAGGAGGCGTCCGAGGCGCCCAGGCCTTCGAAACACGGATTCTCGATCACGTCTCCGTTCGGGCATTTGAACCAGGCTCCGCGGGGAATCACTGCTGCGTCTTCCGTGATGAATTCCACGGTGGCCGCGAGACGATCCTCCTCCTTCAGCTCCCGAGGTATTGGTCCCTGCGTACCATTTCAGATCAATTGAAATCGTATAACTTATCGTACAACTGGGATCTCGAAAATATGTAAAACGTGCGAGATATATCTGCGATCGTTACATCGTAATAAGTCTTGGGGTCTTCATTTGGCGGAAAGGGCGGGTTGACGTTGTAAACGTTCGTGACGATCGACGGCTCACCTTCGAATCTGTTGATCGCCAATGGGCTCAAGAATCGCCCGCATTTTGTTGCCTTCGGCAGTAACAACCAATTCATACAGTCTATACTGTAAAGAGATACATTTTTTCAAGGAAATTCTTCAAAATCTGCTTGTCAAAGTTTTCAATCACTTAAAGGAGATATCTTGTTCCACAAAATATTTTCTCGGTATACTTTGAATAATTAATCTATATTATCTGAATTAATAAGATTGAAGCGAATTATTACCTGTAATAATACACTTGACCGCTCATGCAATCTTTCTCATAGCCGTACGCAATATGGTAGTCGTTTTGAATCCCATCAATTCTACCCCAGTAGTAACACTTGCGAAAATGATTCTCCGTCTGCAAAATGAGCAGTGAATTCTGCAACAGTTGCGAGTTTTCGGTACTTATACAAATACCGGCGCAACCGACCACATCCAACGCTTCCAGTAATCTCAAGCAGTTCATTTTGCATAGTTTATAAAGATCGCGACATTTTTGACAAATGCTCGAAATTGCATTTTTCAGATGTTATCAAGATATTATTATTCGGAACTTGTCGATCAGATCACATCGTAGATAATGGAATTCGCGTTTAAAGCGAGAAATGGTAATTCATCTAAATACGATATGCAATGTTAAAGAAAATTAAAATTAAAAAAAATGTTTCATTTTCCAGGACAATGTGAAAAAATAAGTATGGTTACGTTAAGATAATAATACTTATAAAATAAAAGTCCGCTTCGTCTCTCATTGATTATGGAGTATCTGAAAGTGAACTTGAGGCGGTTTTAAATATAAGACCTGACTACGAATATCGGCCTGAGAGCGGCCAACACGGCATTTTCTGCGACACCGACTTTCCGCACTGGGAAAGGACGCCATCTGCATCCATTTTGAGAGGGGAACTACGATGCTACATCCACTTTCAGGTCTCGGTGGTAAAATCTGCATGTGGTGGAAGTCTGTGCTACATCCACTTTCAGGCGGTTTATGTCCGTTCTGCAACCACAGTTGCCATCTCTGGATACGGTCTAAAATGCTAGAGCATTTCAAAGCAATAGGTGGATCGCACCCTAAATTTCATAAAACCAAAGCGCGAAATTCAACATGCTATAACTTCCGCGAAAGTAGAAATAATGAAATGGTTCAGAAAACATTTTTTAAAATTCGACGTCGTTACTTTTTAATGGACATATTAAATTTGTAACATTTCTGTAATGTTTAGCTATAATATATTGAATTAAATGAGTTTCTTCGTTTTTCACCTCATTTTTCAATTAAGTTTTACATCGCAAAGTTAAATATATCAAAAATGTGACAGACGCATTTTCGAAAGGAAACTGCTAGCTCTTACCTATTTTAACATTTGTTATACATTGATTTGTTCCGTAAGAGGAGAATGTTTGCTTGACTATGTGCACTATCATCTTATGTCAACGGAAAGTCATAATAGATATATTAAAGTGACCAAATAAATATGTCATCAGAGGAAGAAAATGACGAATTGACAAACCTGGAGGACATTCGAGACAAGATCCTTAGTCAATCACATAGTGAACGCATGCAAGTGAGTGCTTGGGAAGATGACGATGACGGCGTAGAAGCGGAACGTAATGCAAGAGGTTAAGATTTTAACCTGTATAAAACGTGTTTATATTGATTGAGTTATATTTATAAGATTATAATAACTAGAAGGAGGGAAAATGTATATCTATAGTTTAAAATCTTTTAAAAGTTTCAATTGATATTAACTGATATCATATTTCTATATTACTTTCTAGACTATTATATTACTTTCAGAGCCTGATGCAAAAGCTGTTTTAAATGCTGCCGAAGAGGGAGATTTAGAAAAAATCAAAGAACTACTCAGCAAAAATCAATTTTTGTTAGAATCTACAGACAAAGATGGCTATACTCCACTTCACAGAGCTTGTTATGGCAATCATGTAAAAGTGGTAGAAGTAATATTATCATTTTTCCTTTAGTATGTATAGATATGTTTATCATTAACTTTATATATCAATTTTGTTCTCTTCTGATAGTATTTACTGGAAATAGGAGCAAGATTAGATGCTAAAACATTAGATGAATGGCAGCCTTTGCATTCTGCATGTTGTTGGAATAATACTGAATGTGCAGACATTTTGATAGCAAATGGAGCAGATATAAATGCTAAAAGTAAAGGAGATCAAACACCTTTGCATTTGGTTTCCGCTAGTTCTCATAATTCTCCAGCTCTTCAGCTTCTTCTGATGCATCCTGATACAAATCCACATATAGTAAACTCAAGTGGAGATACAGCAGATAAGATCGCAAGAAGAACAACGAAATATTATCCAATGTATGAGATAATTGAGCCCTGCCTAAATGAAATTTGAACTAAATATTCTTGTAGTGTATAAAAATAAATTACCAGCGTTTCTCAATTTAGTAAACATTTATTTAATACATATATACTTATATACATATTGAAATACATGAAAATTTGTAACTACATGAATGAAAGACTATGAGAATGAATAATCCATGTAAAATATAAAATATACTATAAAAGTGTTATTCTATATAAAAACAAATTTATAAATATAAATTATTTTATTAAACAAAGTTATATGGAAAGTTAATACGGATACAATGCAGTCCGATATAAAAGTATATAAAAATATAACAACTTATATATGATCATCACTAGTATAATTATTATATCGGAAGTGTCAGTAAAATAATACTTCGGTATATTGTTCATTTTCTTTCAACACCTGTCATGATTCTATGACTGAAATTAAGACAGATTCGAGCATAATTCTAAATTAAGGTGTTAATGTATAAATAATAATAACATATTGCATGAGATATATTAATTATGTAACGAATCAGCCGCCGGTAAACTGTAAAAAGGGTCTTTAACGTTACGGTAATTACAAACAAAATAACATCGAATATACATATATATATATACACATCTGATTTCGGGTGAATCTTCTTTTGACATATAAATTCTTTTCTGTTTCTTTTTTGTGACGTCATTAAAAGTTTGTATCACTTTGAGAGGTTCAAATAACAGTGATGCAGATCACAGTGATGTCAAGTTGACAAATTTCGGAGTGCCAGAACTCAGACGCTTAGATCCCTCCCATATGAGGATGGTGGAATCTTCCGTGGCCGCATATAAATGATGCTGATCCAAAGCCCATGCTACGGCAATTATTGCACCACATCCTTTCACGTTGTGTGTAATTTCTCTGACTAATTGTAGATCCCAGCTACTCCACAATCTATATGCGAAGACATCTTTGCTCAAGAACCCACGTATTTAACGAAATAACACACATGTCTTACCTAATTATTCCATTGTCCAAACCAGTTGCGATAACATTGACAGAAACACCTTCCGGAGCGTTGCTGTAGCAAATAGCAGTGATGCGTCTTCTAGACAGAACGGAACCCACGGCTCTCGCATTCACAGTGTATACTCTCAACTCAGATTGATTGGAAACCACGCCATTCTCCTCTGCTTCAGGAATCTGATAAACAACTGCTATGTCCCCAAGTGTTTCGCTGACACACAAGAGATGAATAGCATAGCCTTGATCGTAGACTATTGATCTTACATACGTCAAGCTATTATAAAATAAAAGAATGTACATATAGATAGATAATTAAACCCTTTAAATTTCTTCCTTCGTGTCTTCAAATATACCTATTTAAATCCCAAATAATCATAACGCCACTGCTGTCGCCGGAACAGGCGATGCTGAATGCACGCGACAGGGAAATTACCATTACACGACTTCTGTGAGCCAGCAACACCGACGCAGCCGCTGAACTGAATTCAATTTTGCCCGTAGTTCCAATGGTGTACGTGTGCACTGTGATCCTGCCCGACAAGTGACCGGCCCACAGCTGTCCGCAATCAGGAGCTGAGCTCAATGTCGTAATCTGTAAACGGTTAAATTGCACCACCTTGCATTTAACATCTAACGGGATGATTTCAACAGTTTCTCTGATTCCATTCGTACCGCGCGAACTGCGATTTTACTTCGCAGTTACTTCATTCTTAATAATAACGTCTTAATCGTAAGCTCGTATGTGTTGTGATACTCACTGGATCGAGGCCTGAAGATTTAATTAAAGGCCTCGGCGGTTGTTCTTTCTTATACTTTAATCTGGCAATTCCATCTGTCCCGTTCCATGACGCTAACGCAGCGCCCAACACGGACGTACAGCTTAGCATACTACCACCTAACAATGTAAGAGGCTTACATTCGTATCTTCCAATCTAAATGCTTCGAGTTGCGCAAGCGGCGCAATAGCGTAACAACTGCGATGTAAATTAATAACGTGAATTAACAACCTTTTTCCTTGGTGTAGCCAAGGAGAAGGGTGGTGTAGCTAGGCAAACCGAAAACGTCACCGGTTGTCAGAAGCACCAGAGAAGCCAACGGAAACCTGTGTTTATGCTTCCAACATAATACAGGCTCATTGCCAGGTGCGCCCACGTAATTTCCCCATTTTATACCTGCAGTTACATCAGACGATTGCAGCGTTTATCGGATTTCACTTACTTATATATTTCAGAGAAACAATAATTACCACTAATCCCCTCGATAACCTGTGGCGTCTGACTAGAATGCGCTACATTATTGAGATTTTGCATCGACAATGGATGAGCAGCTCTGAACAGCTGCGCGGGTGTTTGACCATAAGTTCGTACCATGGTCTCCCAGGCCTGTCGTGCTACAGGATCGACTATTTGCTCCACGTTGAAGCCGTAATATGTCTAAATACAAAGAGCGAGTTATTAATAAAATTCATCTTATTTGTCAAACAATATTGCAGAACGATCGAAGAGTGAAATATACCGCAGGGTGAAAAACATTTATAGCCTCTACCGCTGGTCTTCCCGTCTGTTTGAACCCGAACACGAGGTCAATCCAATATGGCAGAACTTCCCTTACAATATCCGATTCCAGTGCAGCTCTGTGTCCCAATATGAACAGACGCGGGTCACCGCCGCACCATTTCGGCAATTCAACGTCCCCGACTTTGTTACCGTTCTGTCGAACACCAAAATTGAATCCTGCAACAGCCCGAGTATAGAATTGTCACACGTAACGTACAAACGTATTTTCTATAACACTCTCATCGATTGTAGCTCTTATTTACCCTCGGAATTCAGTAAAAATTCGGGCAGATAAAAGAATTCCGGTATCAATTCCTTCACATCTGTCGTCGAGTCGCAACTAGTTAATCTCCACGTGGTAGCTAATGCATGGAATGTACGATCGGGTATATCAAAATTATTGTCTGCAAATCAAAACAACATTGTCTCAGAAAAATCATTTACTCAATATCATTAGAAAAGTGTCCTGCAATTACCTTGATAACATAAAAACATGCTGGTGAACGGTGGAAGTCGTACCAAGAAATGTAACACGGTTCCCGAATTACTATAATGAGAACCATAATGGTAAGGTTCCTGATTCAAGACAATTAGATTTAATCCTTCCGTTAAAGCTTGCTTCAAGTACTATGCGAAAATAAAGTTATTAGTGATGCCGCAAGGAACATCAGGTAAACGATATAATCATATACATGACATGTGTAATAATCGCTTGAAATTACTTACATTGTAATTGTCAATATAATGTTGCTCGTTCTTCTTATCTTGCACAGCCATCGGTCGTTTGAAGTTTCTGCAAAATGCGCAAATATACATTTACTTTGTAATTTAATCGAGCATATATGACTTTCACACGTGTAATGCATCTTTTACGTTATTTACCGATAAATCTTTGGATTGTTCAAGTCGATTGTCTCGCTGACGTAATCCGCCAAAACAAATGGGAATACAGGATACTGCATCAAGTCGTTGTACGAACGGCCCGCTAACTTGTTCAAACAAGTTATGTATTCCCAATTAGTGATTGCACCGCTTCTCCATAAGGCTAGAGCTTCTCCCAAGTCATCACCGGGGACTCGTCTGGGTAAGTTGCAAGCAGATAATTCAGTCGCGAATTCGTCCCTTTCCTTGGCCGAATTGAACGCTAACAAATACGTTCTGCCGGTGATGAGAAAAATCTCAATAGCGGTCTCTTGCAATTGATATCTTCTTCTGTGTAGTTCGCGAATGTCTTCCAAACGCCAAGCGGTACCGCCGGCCATGGCCAAATCCAGATCACCCAGTGCCACCTGCAATTAATGGTAATTAATTATATCATCATTATCACCCCGTTAATTGGTCGATCATAATTACAGAAGCGAAACTACTCACATCTGCGTGTAAGGGAACATCGGGATTTTCAGGAACAAAGTACACACATGTTTCACCGATAAGAACCTCGCCAGCTAGTTCGGTTCTAGGAGTGACGACTTTGACTTGAGACATCTTGCGTATTCTCTCGCTTGTATGCAGCCGTTCGATCAATGCCGAAGCATTGATATCCTGACGATTACTTGTGAATAAGTATGACAACGGTGAATCCGTAGTGGAAGAATCTGAGAAATGCAACATGTAAAATTAATAAAATATGTATATGCAAGCGTTAAGAAGAACAATAGAACGGCAAAATTGTCAAAATAGTTTTGAGATGCTTAATTTGTTACTTAATTTTACATTTTTCCTTTGTCACTCTGTTATGTTAATTCATACAAGATGGACCTACGAACGCACCTAATTTTTCTTGGTATTCAGGCAATAAAAATCTCTTTTCGATGTTTAGGTGACATCTCTGAAGTCTTATTCTGACTCTGGCAGGGCCTTCGGTCGGATCTAATTCCCAGCTGTGCGGATAATTCTCGGGGAAGTGCCAGGGCGCTCGTTCGTGGGTCAACCGCTTGGCCAAGTCTCTCCATCTGGCTACAGCTTGAGCCTCTAGTGCCCGGGTGTGTTTCAATTGCTCCATCAGCACCTTCCGTTCGCGATTTTGTTCCTCCACAACCGCCCGTGTTATTGTCATAGCACTTTCGGTTAACTGTTTGGCCAACGCGTCGAATTTCTTACCAATCCTACCGATAAAATCATATCGTTCTGTTAACTCTTTAGAAGAATAAAGAAGCACACCGTCTTCGACCGTCTTGGAGTAGGAGTTATTTACCTTAAAATTGCAGGGTAATTGTCGATACAGATGTCTCGGTCCAGAAGCATGTCTCGACGCAACACAGCCAATTCGTCATTCCATGCTTCGGGACTAGCCTGCTCTATTCCCTTTGCAAGGCCCCACACTCGTAGGGCTTCTCTTAATTCGGCACACACTCTTGCATCAGCGCTAGGCATCTCGTCTCGTTTTTGCAGCAGGTCCCAGAAGAATACGGTGAATTTTTGCTCCGTCTAAATACAATATACAAATAGAAAGACGAATTACGACAAAGAAGACATTTCTCAAAACGAATAACGACAACAGGTAACATTGAGAAAAATAACACTGACGTAATTAAGCTGCGCAAATACCTGTGGATGAACCTCTAAGATGCACGACAGGATTTCTCGAGCTCTCGGCTCCTCCATTAGGGATCGAACAGCGTACACTCTGGTATTGATGCTCTGATGAGGCTCCAGCAGCCACACCATGATTCTAGCGGTGTACTTTCTCAAAGCCGGTCTGACAGACCACGTGCTGCTCCAATGATTTTTCTTTTCCAACGGGCTGCACAAGCCGTGCAGGAGAATGGAGAACAACCTTCTCGTTAACTGCAATTCGTTGATGGACGGCGACACGTCGGCTGCCGTGATGAACTCGACCGCGCGTGTGACAATAATGCGGAAGCGATCGTTCAATTCCCCTTTACCGGGTTCCCGCGTTGGGACGGGCGAGCTCGTGTAGAGGCTCGTGTAGCTAGACGAGCGAGATCCATGGTCGCTCTGATCGCTAGATGTCGTAAGAACTGCGAGAAAAATCCCACAATATGAGCGCATCTCTATATAGCTGAATATACCTGAAGCACAGATCGCGTCATACTCACCTGAAGTCAGGTATGATTCGTATGACGTCGAAGCCAGGTAAGAAGCAGTGCTGCGTAGACGAAATCCCGAGTGACTCGACATCTTCGTCGTAAGCGTGTCCAGCTCTCCGTCGAATAGCGCAACTTGCGCATCTCTTACGGCCGTACAGGCCAAACTCGTACGACACTGCAGCTTCTCCATCAGTTCCACGTAATCAAGTATCACATGCAGATCCAATATCGTCTGCATCTGATGACTGCCTGGTAATTCCAACAATTTCGTCGCGATCGTCACGAGCAACACATGGATATCTCGATGAAGCGACGTCGAGCTGCTCCTGCGAGCGGTCGTGATTAAAGCTTGGGCCAACGACTCTACCAAGCCCTGCTCCAAGAGCACCTTCAGTGCGCTCAGATTCTGAGAAGTGAAGAAAAGCAGGATAACAGCATGTTATGTTAGATGTAGGCAAGTGCGTCGTCATCATACCTTCGTTATCACTTCAGTAATGAATGATATTATCGGCCTGACTACGTTCGGTTCAAAAACTGCCGCCTTTGCGACCATTGCCATCAACGGTGGCATCGCCGCCAGGGTCGGGCCCCGTAGAGCCAGGTTCTCTAGAGCGACAACCAGCGGTTCGCTTCCGGGGTACAGAGCTATCTGATTTCCCAGGTGCATGAAATACTTATGCTTTATGAATTTGTTAACTTCCTCGTCGCTAGTTCGTTGCAGATAAGTTTGCACCACCTATAAGCGAGAGAGAACAATGAAACTCTCTTTCAATAATTCCCTTTTATATATACCTCGATCGAGAAATCGTACAATGTTATTTTTCACCTCCTGACCTTCAATTATTTACCTTGATCAACGCCGTACGTATTCCGGCGTCGGGATTATTAGCTAAAACCAATAGCAACTCAGCTCTCAAGACATGCTTCAACACTGATCCAACTTGACTGTCGGGTAATACTCTTACAGCGTCTCTCAATAACAGCAACAGACCTTCGCAGACTAAGCCTTGACAGGCTCTTTGTTCATCCGTCCAGGCCGATTGCTTTTCCTGTGCAATGACCCGCTTGAATGAGTAATCTTTACAATTATATTGTATAGAGATTGACACTTTTAGTCTACATACATTGCTATGAGGATTCGATCCGTCACTGGCAGCGATTCCAGAATCTTCCCCGGCACTGATGTCCTTCGATAAAGCGTTTCTACGTTCCTTCCTCTTGGGAGTACGATTTTTCTGAATCTTAAAACGCGACGCGATTGAGTGATGAGCGATACTCGTCTGATTCTCGTGATTTGCGAAACTCAATATCTGAGGTCTTTGCGATATGGACAAATGTGAAATTCTAACTCGGAAATGAACATTTGATAAACTTGTCACATAAAGAGGGAAAGCTCACCTGCACGTTCGTCAATGCTTTATTCAGTTTGCTGTTTTCCACGATGTTTATGGAATCGTCGGAGGAAACGACGCTAGCGTTGTCGCTCGTCTTCTGATTTGTTTTCTTCTCGCCGAGTTGCGGCAACATGAAGTAGATGTTGTGTCGCGAATGAGTGACGTATGTCTCCGAGGCTTGGTGAACGACCACGAGGTAATCGGTAATGGCAACCAAGTGAGCAAACTCCGGGGGCGCGCCCATCAAGGCACGTACCAATTCCACAACAGCAGTGCCGGTAGACGGATCCAATATAGCGCCCAGATCTTCGTACACGTGCTCCTGCGAAGATGAAAATAAAAAATACATGATATTTTAAATGTCTACCTAAAATACTTAGAAAAAATATTTCAGAAAAAAATCTAAACGGGCCAAACCAATGTCACTATTCTATTGTTCTATTAAAATCAAATAACTTGAGCCTGTTGTATACAATAAAATATCGAGCAGCAATGCATGACATTTGACTTACCTTACACAATGTCAGGACCGTATCCACGATACCGACTCTGTTCAGTTGAGACGCATTGAACTCACGCTGGGAATGTTGATCACGCAGCAATAACAGTAATGCTTGCAATAGTAAGTTCAACGTGTCGTATTTGGCCCATGTTCTCCATGCTGTGAGCGCACCCTTAATCAACTCTGGATCAGTGATAACAGCTTCGCAGTTTTGCGAGATCGTATGATTGCCGCTGCCGACGTCTTTGATGATAATTGAGCTGTCACATGCTGCGTCTAGGATCGCTTTTAAAATATGTCTACCGGCGTGACACCTCGAGGACTCCAGTACTCGCAGTAATAACGACGTACCGTTTTCCGAGCGATATTGATTCAAGAGCTCCGAATCGCTGCGCACAAGATGCAGGATGATGGAAAGAGCCAGAGCCTGTTCCTCCTCGGTAGAGTTTAATTCGACCACCTGTGAAGACATTCGTAAACATTTGGAGGAAAGTGTCGCCCAGAAATGAGATCCAAATGTTTGTGATTTGTAATTTGTAGATATTTTATCATGTCTAGGCTGTGTGGACGAAGTTTAGAAGATGCTTACTCTTGCGAAAAGATACAAGAAGACCGGTACACCGCCTACTAAAATCGCAGCGGGTACGAGTCCCCGGTACTGTTGGCTTTCCAAACAAATAGATATAATCGGGGATATCGATAAAGGTGGCTGCTGCGATACCCTGTGTTCCGAAGCTGAGACAATTCGGAAACCCGGTTGGCTCGTTGTTGGGAATATATTTCTCACAACAGCTACAACAATATATATCACGATATCCACTACCAGTCTTTGATTAGTAATATCAATATCGATAAAAGAACGCGTCACTCACCGGCGACCGCTAGAGGATACAAGTGAACGACGTTGGGATTCTGAGCTTCGTAACTGAGAAGCAAATTATCTTGTAACTCGCCCAGATGTGAGTTTGTTGCGTCCATGACAGCGTCCCAATCGATGTTCGACTCTGACACCATTGTCTCAACGGCATATCTCAAGTAAGTGCCGCCGTAAGACTTTCGCCGGGTCGAATCGAACTTACCTCCTTCTGCACGGCATATAAAAACAAAAGTTAAAGTTGCGAAAATATAAATTATAATATTCACATCATCATTATACACATCGTTATATAATATATCAACATTTTTGTATTATACTGACCAAATTTCACCTCGCGAACGCCATTTAGCGCGCCGGACGCGATAAGTAGAGCAAAATCAGGTTTCACCGTATTCAAAATGCAATCGGCCAAATTGGTGTAATTCGGCCCGAGACTTGTCAGGTACAATGCACGTTCTTTCGTGAATACCGGACACCTGTAACAATGTTCAAATTAGATGTACACGTGCCTTCAGCTTCTCACGTGGATTATAGTCGCTTTCGAACTTAATAGCAAAATCATGTACCTAAAAACCATTAAATTCCCGAGGTACCATGCGCCAATACTGCTCGATCCAATCTGACCTAACAAAATACACGTAGTACCAGGTTTTCTCACCAGTAAACCGTCAAACGGTAATTGAGCATTGATCTCTCTCCAACCGTCCACCCAAAGCGTGACTTCGACCACAGCACTGCGCTTATTCAACACGGTGTCTTTGAAATTTAGAGTCAAATGATGCCAACGTCCCGAAGGGAGCATGCCGTTTATCGAAGTTTCAGATATTGTTCGATTCATCTTGTCGTCCGGTCGAGTGAGACGTAAAATTAATTTATCTAGAAACAATGAAGTTAATATCACGACGAAATTCCATCTCGTCCAAACCGATCTCATAAATTAATGTTACCTGATTTGAGATCGAGCCACGTTTCCAGAACCAACGATTCGAAGCCGATGGACATCAAGTGTATTATCGACGTCGGCATCGGTGGTGACACAGAACCAGCTACGACTGACAATTGCAAGAACGATTAGGCATCGTTCAAAAAAGACGATTGATAGTCGCGACTTTGTACATATTTGATAAACTGTTTTCTACTGACCTTCTCGATTCCAATTGTCCGAAAGAACACCCCAATCGGACAGACTGTCGCTGTCCGAGTCCAACAACGGCGAGGTGCTGTAAGCAGCTGCTCTACTGCCAATCGACAAGCCTCTCTCCACCCTTAGCCACATTGAAGCGGAGCAACCATGCAGCCACACTGGCCAAGCCAGTTCCGGGCCGACGGGCAAGCATGTAGCGTGCACAGACCAGGGACTGCAAATACCCGAAGCGAGATGTTTCTTCTTGAAATTGTTCACGAGATTCTCCGCCTTCTCCAGATTCTTGTGCTCTTCTGTTTGGATCTTCGGCGACGTCTTCGTGTTGCATTGCACGGGGAACGACAGAATGAAATTCGGCTGAGGTCGCGCTGCCAGTACCAAGTGATACAACGGCTCCAGCAACGGTAAGAGCGGTGGTCTCTCCACTTTGAAAAAAGACAGATACGCGACCAATTCCGCCGATGAGATTGATTGCGTCGCTAATAAAGTGAACACTTCCAATGCCGCGTGTTGCAGATCTGAAATCGTTTATCAAGCAGTGTGTTCCTAATGTGTTTCGTAAGTATACAGGATATTCCTCGTAAGTCGTCATATTCATTATGTCCAGAGTTTTTTATGAAAATGTTTGACAATTTTTGACAATTTTTCCTTTGCAAAAATATCAATGCAAAAATCATTATAGCAACTTTTCAACTTTCGACATAACACATTCTGGAAGTTAAGTCTCAAATTAAAATTTTTTTGAAGCAAAGACCACTTAAAATTAACCGAAGAAAATAATTTTTTTTATCATCCATTTGGTCAAAGATAAATTTTCATTTAAAATATAGCGCTATGCAAGTAATAGATGCAAATATTATGGAACATCTTCTCACGTGAGTGTCGGTAGTACCTCGAAAACGCGGATCGTTGTTTGTGAATATATTTCTGAAGCCATTCAATATCTTTGTAATAGTGCCGGAACCAGCAAGAGTAGCGCAACTCGAAGCACTTTCCCGACAGGTAACAGCGACCCGGCGCAATCCACTAGTCACTACTAATGCTCTCTCCAAATCTAAGCCTCTGTAAAGGAACTTGGTGCAATAAAACGATATGAGACATGTTAGTATTGTTGAGAGAAAGCCTCGCAACTTACTGCTCGCTAAAGTGGATTAAAAGATCGATCGCCAAGGAGCACAGAGCAGGATGCGCATTAGCGTGGCCTCTTGGTTCCACTACAGGTCCGAGGGGACTACTCTTCTTGGAAATGCTACTGTTCGGACTTCTTCCAGGCACTTCGATATCTGCTTCATATCCATCGTCAGCAGTAATGTACTCGCCGGTACTGCTATCTTCTGCGCCGTAGTCTGGCAGATTCTCCAGCGACATAACCGGTAGCTGCGACAAGTAAAATACTGATCAGTACACGCACGCTATGCCGTACGTTTCTTCTTTTATATTTCTTGAGGGATTCTTGACGAATTCTTGACACTAGAACCACCAAGTTGTCGAAAATGATCTGTTTGCAATTCCTTATAAAAATTACTCAAATTTATACAACGATGTATTTTATACTTTTAATGGGCATTAAAGAAAACGAGAAGAAATAGATAAACATTTTTGCCCTTACACAAAGTATTTTTCCCAAAAACCTGTCGCATTTTATTCGCTCCACTAGAAATGGACCGCGTTATTCTTCGGTAGTCCTAATGTTAATGAATTCTTAAGAGTTAAGAAATGCGAGTATATGAAAATTGCCAAACACGTACTCTGGGACGCGGTTGTTGCGGTATAGTATTCTCTTGAGCTGGCTTTAACATGGAGACCTTCAACAACGCGTCCACTATCACAGCTATTCCACGACCGAGTATTATTCCGGTGTTCATCAACGCCTTCCCCAACTCCATGACCAAGTCACGATCATCTGTACCACAGAGAGCACTTGCCGTTACTCAATATCGACGGGACTACGCTAGGAAATGGCAGAAGTAAAAGTTTCAACGCAGCGAACGAAGCAGTTCCCCGTACGCGACGTCACGTCATTGGCAAGCAAGATTTCAAGAATGACGTTTATCCTCCGTCTACGTTCATCAAACTGTTTTTCTGCCAAGCGAACACGCAAAGCATCCTCGGATTAAAATCCCGCAGCTGCGCGAGTGAGCGATATGTATATACATACGTAATCGACATACATATGTTACGCATTTTATTAATCACACTCGTAACATAAATACACTTACACAACGGAGATGTCAGACAACACGTAATCAGGGCCTCGAAGAGCTTATTCGCCGATTTAGTGGTATCTAGAAGAACGATAAACTCTTTAATACGTAATGTGATTTCCCTCTCTGTCACTCTTAATCCCCGTATCGTTTTTATACCGTAATTACCTTCAACATTACCCGTGACGATGCCTACAGCTAACAACTTGAACAAATCCAACAGTCTTGTCGAAACCGAATGCGCGGATAATTCAACGCGGAATTTCGGGCTGCACAGTGCTACGCCCGCGGCAGCCCTCCACGCCGCGCTAGCCTGATACAGGCTGCATTTCTCGATCATATCAGCATCGTCGACACCGTTCGCTTTGACGTCCTCCTTGGCGAAAGCGCGAAGAGTCTCGGACGAGTTCGACGCTACTACAGTACCTATCGTATCAGTCTTGTTATCGAACTGTTCCGGACGAGTCAGTTCAGTTTCAGGTAACTCCGGTGTACTTGTTACTGTATTATCGACGTTTTCAACCATGATCTCGTTGGTCGCCGTGTGTAAATCTTGAACGAGAAACGGCTTGATCTCCTGATTGTCCGAGTGTACGTCGAATGTGTCCTTCTCGCCTAGCTGGTCAGTTTTCTCGTCCAGTTCTTCTTGCTTGATGTGCTCTAAGCTCTTCAGTAATTCGCTGGTTTCTCTATCGAGAGCTTCGAATAAAGATCTCGTCGCCGGCATTTCGGCGCTTTCCGAATAACTGACTTCTTCGCAGTGGCTTCTCCAGATCTCGATGGTCACGGTGACTTCCAAGAGAGCGTAAACACTTCTCGTAAACGCCATGTCTGGCATCAGGACCAAGACCTCGCTCAGCCCGCCCAGCTCCATGAATTTCTCGCACATCTGCGCGTTTACGATCAAGCACGACATGATGGATATGCAGGACTGCAGGAGGAACTTCGCCGTCGAGTTGCTGCTGTCGGTTATATAGCATGCTTTGGCGTGCAGGAAAGTCGAGTAGAAGACCTTGAGGAGCAGCTGCTCCCTTACGTGGTATCTGGAGCTGGGTGTAACCTTGAGCAAATGCGCCATCACGACGTAGCAGAGCTTCGGATCATTCGAACTCAGCAAATTCACGTACATTTCAAGGAAGTCCCAAGAGTAATCCGTCGATCTGTCGCAGGTGACGCAAACATCCGTCACCGGATAAGCACCTAGTTCTTTGAACAGAGTACGTTCTAGGAACGCTACAGCTGGCGCGTAGGTCGAGGTGTCGCGTTTTTTGAGGAAGGCCACGATGCTGGAGACGAGTATCTTCGGCGGGAAGCAACAGCATGTGCCCGCGGCGGTGATGACTTTAATTAGCCTCACTTGCAGTTCGCTCACGAACAAGTGGGACTGTTTCAGCAAGCTCATGAGCGTCGCGAATAACGAGGAGATGCAGCACACCTGTTTGTTGACGGCGCCGACGATCGGTTGAAGATACGGCGTGCCAAGCACGTCCGAATGATGGTGACTTTGGATGTTATCGATGCAGGACTTGTGCTTCGTCCTGTGACACTGCGTGGCGTGCGAGAGATCACGACGAATGCGCTTCAGAGCACTGGTCAGCGCACCGATCATGTCGATTATCTTTCTCGCGCGCACTATGGACTTGGCTGGATCGACGCTCGGCAAGTCGACAATCTTGAACACCGTTCTCTCGACGAGCTTACCTTCTTGACTCTCGACGAACAACTGAAACAGCTCAAGAAAGTCCGACAGCTTGTCGACATTGCTGCTGCGCTGATGTAACAAGCAATAGAGGAACGTGACGATCCCATAGATGGTACCAAAGATGAATTCCTGCAGAAGCGAACCTTCTTCCGGCTCCAGCACGTTCACCGGCTTGCTGCAGGCGTCCTCTAGCAGTCTCAGAGTCATCGGTAGTAAACCGTTGTGAATGACGGCCGTGGTAGGCTCGTCGGCCCTCAGGGCGCGCTCCAAGGCCGTCAACATGAGTCTCGCGGCGGCAGCTTTCAAGGTAGCGCATTCTGTACCGCTCAGGTTGTTGCCGTCTATACCGAATTGCAGCGACCACAGCGTGTCTAAGGCGAACTTAAGCACTTGCACGGCGGGCGTTTGTTCGGCAGGTGTGTCGTAGTCGCGCAAGCCTTGCAGGAGCTGTATAATCAACAGGCTGATCTCGAAGTTGCTGATCCGTGCGTCCAACACGTCCCTGATCCTCTCGTCTATGTAATCGCGTGGCGTTTTTCTCACGGGACGCGGCGGTAACTCGTAGAGCTCGGCCTGCCACCGTTGTTCCTCATCACCGCTTCTGACGACCGACGTGAAGTACTCGAAGTCCATGGGATTCAAGCGAATCTTCAGGGTGAGAGAGCGAGCCTGATCGATACCGTCCGTCACAGGGTCGGACTCGCTGCTAGTCGCGTCCGGCGTGTCGCGTCGCGTCTCCAGAACTAGCGATTTCGGCTGCTTGTGATGATGAACCGGCGGCTTCGCGCCGACGACGTGCTTGCGAGCCGATCGCCTACGCGTTGTAGACGTATTACCCTCATAAGGCAATCCACTTCTAAAACTGGGCTTGACGCTCTTGCGCTTCGCCACATGCGGCACGATGTTCACCGTATCGACCGTATCGTCGTTGCAATGAAATCTCACGTACTGATTGCGTGCAGACGAACCGATTTCCTGCGTCGGCTCGCCATCGGAGCCGTCTTGCAACGCGACCGGATAGAGCGCGACCAACAGCGCGACCAGCTCGCGACCGCAGGACAGGCCGCGCACGCCAAGCAAATGCAGCACCGCCAAGCAACGCCAACCGCGGTCCTGGACCAGGTACTTTCGCAGGCCGATGAGCTCACCATAGTCGTCCCTTCTCGCACACAGCTCATGCACGTCCGACAGCAATTCGCAAGCCACCAGAGTGGACACGCCGCCACCGCCGACCGAGCTGAAATTAGAGGTAAGAGGGTGTTTGTTCTTTCTCCTCTTTCACCGCTTATGCAATCGCGTCGAGAACCGCGACTTATCGCGTTGATCGTTATCGGTGTGAGGTAAACGATCGCGGCGTGTCTAGTAGCTAATAAGATAGTGTTTTGCACCGCTACTTAATGCGCAAAACGATGGTAGGTAAGATCTTCCTTCGATGCTTATCGCAAAGTGACTTCCAACATACAATAATTAAACTTTTGTCCGAAACTTTTTCTCAGATAATACATTTCCTCCGAGATGTTTCAAGTGAGCATTCCGAATGAATCACTCTGTATATAGCAAATATTAGCAAGCTAGACTCGAGAGTAGACTCGAACGATTGCTAGACGACGGTTGCTAGATCGAACGTCAACCGAGCGGACTGACGTAAAAATTATCCACCGCAATCACCGCAAAGGTGCGATCGAATTTTCATATTGCGGTTGGAGGTAATGACAGAATAAATCGTAAAAATGAGAGTGCAATCTAACACGCTTCCCAGAAAGTATCTCACGTAAATTTACGAGAAATATGCGTATATTAAATGACGATAATGGAATATTCGCGATACAAGAGTCACAGGTCCTCACCAGAATGACAGTACATCCTTCACGTCCCTGTCTTCTTTGATTTGCGCGAGCAACTCCGCCAGAAATATATCAAGCCAGGACGACTTCTGAAACAACCATGAGATTATCACTTTCGAGTATAATCAACACTGCGTAGTTCATTCTACGTCGTGACGAACGAACGCGATATCGCTTGCCGAAAGCATTAAAACATCGTTCGTAAAACTAAGGCGTAATTACCGCGTACTGCAGTGTCGTTAATTACTCTGAATTCGATAAATATTTTTTGATACAGATGACGGACTCAATACGATGAATCGTACAAAAAAACACAAACAAGATGTAATATTGAAACATAAGATCGCATAAAAGGGAGACCAGCGTGGATACACAGCAACGATCAAAACAAAGAAACAAACATAAAAATACGCCTGTTTTCTACTTTTTAAGATTTACGAGAATAAATTGTCGCCACGTACGTCATAATCGACACTAGTGGAATTAAAATAAAAAGATAACAATCCAACATTAAAAAATAATAAAATATAATCGGCGGAACGACGCATTCGCTGCAAACCGTTAAACATTGCTTATTTATACGCGCGTGTATATACACGCTGATACAAATTAATAAAAAAGATTTCAGATATGAAAGTGGAACGCTTAGAATTTTCAGCATTTCAAGAAAATTGGAGGTGACTGTGAGATGTTACTCGCAGCATACAATTAAGCCGTCTGCGGTTGTATGCTTACTCTCTCAGTCGTCATAAAATTAGTACCACTTCGCGGTCGTAATGATCCTTTTAACGGTCGTTTTAAGATCCTTCTGTACTTATCACGAGTCGACCGCGAGCAAACGCACAAGTTGAGAACATGTAATTAACATTTTCTACAAGCTTCTTCACTTCACGTAGGTGCATTCAACGAAAAAAAGGATTGGTTGAATCAACATGATTCGTTGGATTAATCATGAACAAAACAAACACGTTTTTAAGGAAATGAAGAACTTCTGGTTAATATGAATTAAATTCGATTTTAAAAACCAGAAATTCCATTTCCTTCAGCCAAAACTCTCTTGGTTCATTCATTGTTACGTTGTTTCAGTCAATCTTTTTGTCTCTGTGTATAACCAATTCAGATGTTATCACGTATAAAATGCGACAAGAGAATTCACGAAGTTTATTTTGAGCAATGAACTTTGCTGTCGATGACAACAGAGACGTGTATGATCCTCTTCAGCAAGTATTGACAAGCAAAGTGCGGATAACTTGTAGGGCATCCATCTCCTTCGCAAGCCACTACAGTGCAGCGTCGGCACACCGGTCTAAAAGATCCAATTATAAAGCAAAGGGCTTCGAGGCTTGGTTACCGTTGAACTTGAATAAATTTGATTAAAATCAATTCCCGCACTACGCATGCTATCGGTATCTTTTCTACGGATATCGTGAGAACCCTCGTGGGATAAATTCAACATGACACAGAGCGTTCGTCTCATTAAATGCAGCAGGAAATGAGGAAACGTAGCTTTTCTTTTTGCTATAAATGAATTAAGAATAAATGAATAAGTGAACTTAGGACATCGTAGCGGTACCTCGTAACTCTGGGGTTCAGCATGGATGAAATGGTCCCACAGAAGCTGCAACTTGTTGACTAATGCCGAAGACATTCCTGAAAGTTCCTCGCGCTCCTTCTCGTCCTCCTCTTCCGGCTCCTCGGTCTTTAAGCGCGCATCCTCCTCATAACTCGCCACTTCATCGAGACTCAACCATGCGCACAGGGTATCCTCGTGCTGCTTTCGGCGTGCATCTTTCAACCAAGTAACTTGATCACCTGAAAAGGCAGGATTCCTCACGGTGAATCGAGCGACTGGATGACACGAGCCGTCACATGTACCGGCATGTATCATCGTCGCGTATGTGCGTATCATCTTGGTACGTCGCTCGAGAATCAAGACCGAATTTCCAGCATACGATGTACAAACTATGTGACGAGTATGTTTGTTACGTTCACGAGTCGATGGTATGCATATCGAGCAGATAAAAAGCGAAAGAGTCGAAAGCTCACTGCCTGCCTCAACGTTAGTGCTGTGGCGGGAAAACCGGAACTGTGTGTGACATTTTATACCCAGCTCCGTCTGATCCCTGCTTCGTCGAAGTGCATACGTGACTCGAACGCGATGTTGCGCGGATTTAGTCCGCGGTCGAGGCATGTGTGCGTATATCGTGTATTTGTCAGACGACTATTAGCTTACATAACATTCCCACGTATCCGCGACTGATCACACCAGTTTATCACGATCTGCCGCGGGGTAGTTCCTGAAGCTATGAAGCACGTACACGAGATGGAGAGCAGTAACCCCGGATTCGTAAATTATTCCCCGACAGCATCACCGTCACCGCCGCTACAGCTGCTGTCGTCCTCGTCAACCACCACCAGTGCTAACCAGCAACCACCACCACCACCACCACCGTCACCACTGCTACTACCACCACCGCCACCACCGCTACTACCACCACCAGCACCGGCACCTCCGCTGCTAGTTTCGCAACGAGACACGAGGAGAGAGAGAGAGAGAGAGAGAGAGAGAGAGAAAGAGAGAGAGAGAGAGAAAGACGATGCGAGAAGTCACCGACACAACATTAGCGTGACTCGCGGTCCTACCATCGGCGACAGCCTTATCTGCAGACTTGCTCTCGTGTCCGTCGACGACGCTGGCTTGTTATCGCTTGTCTGAACATGTGACAATTCGCTCGTAAATCCCGCGATTAGTAAAAGACAAACGAAATTACGAAACTTTGGTGGAGGAACCAAGCAGGAATTTCTCCTAACGATTCAGGCTTACCCTGAACAGCTAGGCACGACGATCAGACAGCTTCGAGTCGATGAGAAATGAATTCGTCGATGCTTCAGAATACAAGAGCAAACTCAGCGTTGTTATAAACGACGACCGACTTTTCTTCGAACAGTATGTCCACCCATTCTATCAGAATCTGGGAATTAAAGGAAAGATGTATCTCTCAGAAAAACAGCTACTGTGATACTGCAGAGCAGTAGCTCGTGACCTTCGACGTACATTGGCGCCACAGATTAGTGTAACGATAAGAGCTTGCGACTTTTACGGGCGAACTGATGTCGCAAGATAGAAGGTCATGGAACTCTAGCGTAGTTTCAGTTCAATATTTCACTATATTGAACTGAAACTTAAAGGAGAATAAAATATAACGACTATATATAAACAATAAGAAGAAAAGAAAAGTCTGTTTCGGATGGAAAAGAGAGATAATTTGAATTAATTAAAATTTTCAATCTTGATACATAATTTTCCAAAATCTGATGCACCAATCTGGTTAAAATCAGTCTGAATTTTCATAGTCTTTCCCTCCTTCACTCTTTAATTTGTAGTTCTTTATATTATATTAAGTGTCTCGTTATCGATCACACAGCTACTTCATAAAATTGTGAAATCATCTTTAAGGAATGATCAGCAAGATTGTACGTGAGAGCATTGTTTGTAAACATCGGAATCTACTATCGGTTATATTCTCATAAACTTTATCTATATTGTCATTCGTACAAAATATCTCTCCGAGTAGACAGGTACAGTTTTAGCGAGTTTGTTTTATAAATCTGCAGTGACCCTTCCCGCGAGAAAAGTTCTACGGGATTGATAATCTCGAGCGTTATTTGCTAAAAGTCAATAAAGACTGAAGAATCCAGTTCAAGGAGAATTATTTTTGATCGCCGATAACACAAAAATTATCGCTGACCCAATACTGTCGCTCAGAGAAAACTCAATTCTCCAAACTGTCCAAAGAATGTATGTCCAATTGTTGAACCGTTCACTCGAAGAGATGCTTTGCGCACAATCTACATAATTATATTAAACACACGAAGATAATGTTTACTTGATCAAGATCAGCGATACGCTAATGTACGATGCCGATGCAACCGACCCCAACACGAAGATCCCCTCCGGTATCCATCCGCGCGCGTCGACGAATGAGTACGCTTCTCCCGCTTACAGTTCTTGCTGTCGACAATCTCGTCGTCTCAGCTCGGGGTGCGTGTCGTACAGCGACTGTTTACGAAGAAGGGGAAATCGGTGGTCGAGCCTCCCGTGGGTCGTTCAGGCGCCGCCAATCGCTTTCCTTTCAGTGGCGGCGAAAAGTTATAAATCACGCACCTTGGTCCTGCTCAAGATCAAGACCTATCGAGAAACATGGAAAGAAATCAGCAAACGGCTGCGTTAACATGTCGCGCGTGTGTGCGTGTGTGATATAGCAATAACTAGATCGTGAAAACAGCTTCCTAAAAATAGATCTGTTATTCACTTGCAAAAAGATATATATCAATGATGTATGGTACTTCACTCATGTATGCATCTTGATAATCGTCAGACGATCACCGCTACTTTACAGACATTAAGAGACAGAATCTCGATTGCAATATAAGTACCTGTTACAGTCAATTGCTTATTATTTATCTTTACGGTCGATTATTCATCGCGAACATCACAAATCGCTGATTCTCAGTGTTCTCCGGATTGTATAGGCGATGCGATTAACGTGAGTCTCGATTTATTTCATTCCTCGTAATTCCTCATTAATTTCATTATCGTTCGCATTGTATCAGCGAAAAAGGCATCAGTTGCTAACACAGAATTAGTCGCGTGTAACTTTTTATCGTCTAATTATATCTGGGAATGTCTAATTATATCTCGGAATCTAATAATATCTGAATGTTAATTGAGACTGAAGTCCTTCCAGAGGCATAGAGCTATCGACCATCATAAAACACTGTGTAAGAAATACCGCGTTTTCTCCCACCCACGGCGTGTAACAATCGCGTTGCCGTAAATACGGCAAACAGCGATAACCGCGGAACACGTGCAAACAATTGAGAGCAGTTCAGTGCGCAACAGCCGCACAGCCGTAATTGTCGATCAATCTTTAACTCCCGCAGTTGGCCGGTTATTATGGTGGCCGATTATCTTAATGAAGTTCCACGCTCCGTCGTGCTTTAATCAACTCTCGCCCCCTCGACGATGCGATAATAGTGCAATAAAGACGCGAGCGATTTTTCAGTGTCTGCCTGCGGATAAATAACAGGACGATGAAACCACGCATTTCTCCTGAGGGAGAGATCAAGACTTGCTTCTCGCCGATGCCTTTGGCCAATCCAGGAATGACGAAGCGTGCGTTAGTCTGTAATCCTGATGACAGAATCGACAGAAACGAACGTTGTAATTTCAAGCCGGTAAACATCAACAGCAACATTACATCAATATTATAATTTTCCACTCAGAAAATGTAAATGTAATATAACACAACACTACATTACATTGCTGAACAAGAAATTATCCCAAATAACACAAGATATCCCAGAATCATCCTGAACGTATCCAAAATGATTAAATATCAGAATGTCCCAGAACATCCTGAGCACAGAATGATATGAGGATATCTTGTGCTATCTTAAGTCTATACTTTTTAATATTGATGTAATGTCAATGTTGATTCATATTACTGTGAATATTCTTAAATTTGAGATATTTTCATCATAATTACAGTATCAAGCGAAGTCAAGAACAAACATAAAAATCTCTTTAACATATCTTCAACTTGAACATATGATCAAGCAGTTTTTACATTCGATTAAACCAGATTTAACCGAATTATCAAGTCTCGACAGTTTAATATTGAGCTGTGTGGCGACTACATACGTTTCACTTTCCTCGCGATGTTTAATTATTTTATCGCAGCGGAGATTTTTCACAAACCCCGCGCAACACCGATAAACAACAAATCACTGAGAACGATAACGACTAACCTTCTCGATGCACTCGCCGCAAAGTCAACAACAATTAAAAATATATTCTCTTAACGCGCTCTTTTTACAAGAGATTTTTCACCCGTATTCTTTCTCTTCCTCTTTACGTCCGACTTGAGTCGAACCGAATATATTGTCAATTATGTCACATCCCCGCCATTTTCGTCGCTCATTCGCGCGCTTCATAACATCAGCTGAGCCTTCATTTCTGAAGGCTCTTTCAAGACAAATTTTCGACGCATTTAACGTGATTCTCTACACTCGCAATTACAACGCTCTTTTCTGATTCTCTCCAATTACGAAACATGCAGCTAAACGAATATAGAACTTTTAGAATCGGCCCGACACATGTACGTTTCATTTCAAATACAAAAAGTGCAAAACAGTGCAATAAAAATTAAGTCTACAGTGTACACACACGACGCAACCTTCAAATTCGTTCTTTCTAATTGCATTCCTCTATAACCAACCCCTTCATCATTCTTCTTCAATTCTCAATTGTTACTTATTTCTCGATTATACGCTAATCGTACGTGCTAACGAACGAGCGAAAGTGCAGTATGGTGTAAATAAAAGGTACAAACCTGACATATATGCAAGATCTACGGTCCTGCTGCAGATCTATTAGTTCGCAACGGCCACGCGAGGCAAAGTCGATGGTCTCGAGGGGTTCTTCAGGATGCGTCGACTGACGGTTTGGCTGTTGAGGCGCCGGTCGTGCGACGTGCCCGGATCAGTGCGGCATCACGAAGAGAAGCCATGCCGGGCTCGATTCGCTCGAGCTGTCAATTCTCCAAACAACACGGACTCCATCGTTGTTTTCGACTGTGCTGCACCGCGGCGCTATTCGTGCGCACCTACACTGCGATTCCTCCCGCGCTGGATTCAAATAACGCGCCGCCGGACACGCGACACTTTCCCTCCGCGAGAAACTCCATCGAACGACGTCGTAGCCGCTTCCACGGTGCATTCCAGGTCGATGAAATGGCATCACGCGACAGTTGGAAACTCGGTATTTCCGAGCAAACGAGTGACATTTGCGACAGACGACGTTGCGAAAGCAGCGAAATTTCAAATGATGGCATCGCCATTTCCTCCGACACGCGATCCACGATTGGCTACTTACGTCGCTCTCGAGGCCTCAATAGGTGCGTTCAGGAAACACAACGGTTGCACGACAGTTAAATAATTGGTCTAAATTTCAGGATCTAACAGTAAAGACCACTAACCGCTGACAGCTCGCTTCGTTCCGTGGAACACTGAAACCGATGTGTCCTCATCAGCGCGCGCGTGACGTTCGGGTTCGGTGGTATCGGTGGTATCAGTATGGCATTCGGTGGCGCTTGATTTTCGTTTACGATTATTAACTCATTTTCGCACGGTTTATGTTCCCTCGAGTGATCTCCCATCTTCATGACGGCGGTTAGCGAATCCCATTGCGTAGTCGTCACCGGCGGCCTGGTAGGAGGGGGACGTTGACGAGGCACGGCATCTAGGGCTGTTCTAACCTAAAGAGAGCACCGCGAGGAGCCGACGTTCTGTCACTTATGACAGGTTGAGAGGTGTTCCTCGAGCGCGCTTTCGATCGCCGAAGTATGACTGTTTGGGAGAGGCTGCGCAACCCGTGCGGCTGGCGCGCCGGTGCCAAGCAAATCTCCGTGGACGCGATGTTACCGCTGGTAGTGGTGCCGGCATTGGCGGTGATCGCCGCCCAGACCGTCCTCTGCACGGTCGTTGTGTTCGCGGCGACGCCAGTCCTCGTTTACTACTTGCATCACAATTTTCTGCGATTCTTGCTGCGCACCAAGTTCTTCCTCATGTGGACCATCACGAGCGTGCTGATGCTGATGCTCGTGTTCGAGATCAGTGTAGTGCCGTTGCTGGAAATCCTGCCCGAGGAGAATCTGCTGTTCATGGTGTGTGTGGTCGGTGGTATCTGGTGCGGCTACCGAGCCAAGCTCAATGCAGATTACGCAGCGCAGGAAGGCATCCTTGTACAGGGCCTGGAGCTGGGTGAGGGCAGTGGAGAGCTTTGCACCACGTGCAGGAGAAGGGCGCCACCCAGAGCCCACCATTGCCGCTTGTGCCAGACATGTATACTTAACAGGGAATATCATTGCAAATGGTATGGTATAGAAATGTTTTCTTTTGCTTATATTTTTTTCTAGGAAATTCTTTTCATGTTCTCTCTTGTCTCTGAAATTAGTCTTCTAAGTTTCATAATTCATCTGCTGAGATTTTGTATCTTAAATGCCTTGATCATCCATCTTCACCAGGCTGGACTGCTGCATAGGTTCCAGCAACCTGAGGTGGTACTTGGGCTGTTTATTCTTTTCTGCAATCGCCTTCATCTATGGCTCCAACTTAACTATGACTAGTGTCTGTCACCCGTTTATACTCATCGGGACTGTACTCCTGCCAGATGACTGCAGCGATGTGTATCACCAGTTAGAGTATGTATTAATTTATTTTGTCTCTCTCCTGGCTGCACTTTGATACCAAGATCACTGAACACGCTGAATATGACACTGTGAAACTGTTTCACGACAAAATGAGAAATACAAGTTCGTATTGCCACAGAAAGCGCGATTGGATGTCACTGATACAACACGAGCTTAGCAAAGCAAACTGGAAAGATACAAGGGGATCTATAATGTAGACTTTAATAATCGCAAGATAACAGAGTATTTGCTGGGTCTGCAATTTAGCATCGTAAATATCGTAATATCTCTTATTTGCTTACCCACACGATGTAAGAAAGTCCGAGAGATAACGTGTCGCACAACTGTTCGCTCGGGATGCCCGCCAATCGATCGAATGTATAATCGTACACATATTGTTTCAGCATCGCTCTTTGCTTTGTCTCCGCACTCTACAGTCTCCTCGTCGGTCTAGTGGTCGTTTGCTATCTCATATATCATCTTTGGTTGCTCTACCAAGGCACGACGTCGAATGAACGACGCCTGGACGCCGGAAGTCAGTATGATCATGGAATACTAAAGAACGTCTCACGGTTATTTTGCTGCAAGACCTAGATAGCAATTGTAGGTTAGACTAACGAATTTACTTCGCAGAAGATGTACGTGCTCTATGCTCCGTACAAAGTATATATTACGGAATCAAACTTGATAAATTAGGAAATTATCATCGAGAGAAAGGCTACCGAAAAGCCGAGAAATCTCATTCATGATACTAAGTCAGATGCCGAGTCAACGGTTAAACGGTAAATTAGAATGTACTTATTGTATCATCGATCCCATCGCATGTTCCAACGGTTCAATGTGTATCAGGTACTTGCGTGTTTAACAATTCGTAATTTCTGGCGAATACATCGTCCGCTATGGTCGTAACGTTGCTCTCACCGGGGCCACGTGCGACAGCGGCATATCGCGAGGCATCAGCTCGCACTATAGTCATGATTATTCTTAATGTATCATTGTGCATACCATTTGTATATTTATTGTAACTGTGATAAAGTGGCCATTGTGTACGAGTAATATAATAAATTATACTAATCGAGTACATATATATATATATATATATACATACACGCACACACGTGTGTATGTATGTATGTGTGTATATATGTATCATGTAATCACGAATTCGAGTAAAGGAGAAATATGAATATACAAATGTATAATGACGATTTACATCTTATTCTGCGTAAAAGAACAGAAGGAAGCTGCTTTATCTTACGCGTACTTAGAAGTAAGGCTGCTCTTTTTACGTCATCATTCGGATACAAAGTCAAAACAATTGTCGCGTATAGCGTAATCTACGTTAACATGTATTAATTCCCTCTTATTAGTCCTCTATTAATACACCTCTCTGTCCCGGATCGAAATCTGGCACCACTTCTTGCACTATTTTTCGCCAAGCGTTTTTTACACGCTCGCTCTCCGCGATAGCGGACGCTATCTCGGGATATCGTTTCCACATGTGAAAGTATTTTATCTTCAATTTTTCCTTGTAGTACTCCGAGGCCAAACGCTCGTTCTTGAGTCGCTTCACTTTATATTCCACGGTCTTTATCTTCCACAGTTTGAAACACTTGGTTTGCAGTCTCATGTCAAACAAGTCCTTTGCCACTTGCTTTTTTCTCTTTTCCTCTTTCGTGAATTCCTTCCACTGTTGTAGCACGCACCACGTTATATTTCTGTTGTATAACGACGTGGCCATTTCGATCTTGATTTCACCTTGATGTTCCGTCTCCGTCCTCCAGCCGATGAACGCTTTACGCAGTAGACGCCGTTCGTAGTGGTCGTTCGCTTTGCTAATATAATTGGTCTTCCTTTCGACGAGTGCGACGAACGGCTGCATTACGTAACGTCGCAACAGGTGCTTGCGATAAAACGCCTCCGCCATGGCGTTCAGTTTCTTATATCTTTCTATCTCGCGTGCTCGCTGCTGCTCCCGTTCCTCGCGCATTCTTCTTACTTCGCGCTGGGCCTGGACAAGTGTAATCTTAGATTAAATTCTCGCGTACACTTCTAAATGTAACGTAAGCGGCGTTAGAGTAAACACTATTACATTGTAGAATAAGATGTAAAATGTATATCAAGATGAATGTTCCAATCAGAGACAGAGTGACAGTGTCTCAACTTGTGACAATCATTTTCCTATCACGAAAAAACGAAAAAAAAAACAAACCATCATGTCACTAAATGGTACTTTAGTCATCTCTGACAAGAAATATATACCAATTAAATTGGAAAGGTGCAATGCGAGAAACTCTAAATGTACAAATTTTCCAACGAAGTCAACTTTGTGTACCTTATAAGTACATCATTGATATTTCTTCATTTATCCTCACGGTGAGATCACCTGGTTACTAATTGGGACGCTCATCTTAGTATGCGAAAGTATTGTATATTACGATATAACATCTAGTGACGACGTCTTTCGCGACGGATAATTTTGCTCGCGAGGTAAAGCTACGCGCGCGCTAAGAAGCGTACGATACACGTCTGGTACGATATTAATATACTTTGACCTGTCATATTATCTGACCTCTAGTTGCAATCTTCTCCTCTCACGCTCTTCCTCCCTCTGGGCGGCCTCTTCTTTCCTCCTCTCATCCTCCAGCTTCTTCCGCCGCGCTTCTTCACGCAACTTTACCCTGTTCCGCCTCGCTTCAGCTCGCGCCTCCATCCGCGCCAAAAATTGCGGTGGACTCGGCACGCGCAGCGGCGCCGTCAGAGACTTGTCCCTGTTGTCAAGGTTGTCGATAAAGGGAAAACAATCGAGTGATAGAACAAGCTGCCCTCGTGTGCAACTCGCGTCGATTTAATTTATCGTGAAACGAAGGCGTGGACTTGAACATCTCCTCTTTAATACGCTCTCTACTTCGCAGGCGGTAGAAAGATCAATGTGTGAGGAGAATGATGTGCAGAAAAACTAACTCTTGAAAAGCTGTAGTTATCTGAGTGCTGTAAGTGCTACAAGCTATCTTCAATCCTGATTACTGCTGGTAAATTTTTACAAACGAATCCTTACTATATCGTATATAAACGCTTGGAGAAAAACGATTGATTGAATTAACGAATGAACGAACCGAATGCATGTCGATTGGAAGAAATGGAATTTCCGTTTCGTGGGACTGAATTTGGCTCATAAGAGCCAAGAATTTCCTTCAATCAGAAAGTCTAATTCGTTTATCGTCACGTTAATTCATCAAACAGACTTTGTCTCCGTGCGTAAGTGTGTACGTTATTAAAATAAGAAATCCTTATTTTTCAAGGAACAATTGAGAGTACGGTGATGAAGAACTACCTGTAACCCGCTTGTCTCATTAATTGGATCAGTGTTCTTCTAGTCTGTTGACCGCAATGCATCAGCGTCTCCTTAGCGGCGTTCACTGTCTGCTCACCGGACCTTGTTATCTCTTCCTGCACCTGCTTCAACTTCAGCTCCTCGATAAGCTTAGTCTGCTCGGTCAGTTTCAGCTTCTGCTTACGTATAATCTCCTTCTGAGCGTTCAAGCGATTCTGCGCCGGCGACTCGACGACGAACGGCTTACAGGATGGAATTCTTTTCTTGCCATCCCTCGTTCCGTTGCCATCTCTCGAAGAAGGATCTTTTGGATTCACTTTACGGCACTTTATCAATTCCTGCGTCTCCACGATAGTGTTAATGAACGTGTCAATCTTGCTAGCATCGAAGTCCTTTGTGTTTGTTTTTTCCTCATGTCGAGTCCTCTTCGTGGTCTCCACATGCGTCCTCCACACGCGAACACATCGCCTCAGTCTTCCTCGAGATATAATGTCCTGGATGTTAAATTTGATTTCCCGAAGACGCCGCTTGTCTCGCGCGTTCTCCCGCAGGATATCGAAGCATGATTTCAGGATGCGTGACCGTTGCTCCTTCGACACGCAGCTTGGCTTATCTTTGATGGTCACCTTGATGCTACCAAAGGGTGCTCCTTCGATCTCCTTTATCGGACATTGACCAGCGTCCTTCGACTCTGCAGCGGAAACTTCCGCGAATGCCTGCTTGCTCCCTTTCTTGACTACCGCCACCTTTCGCTCGGCTGCTTTGCCTTTTCTCTTGTTAACGAGAACTCGCTGTAAAGTGTTGAGATTTAGTAATCTAGTTTTGTTAATGATTCGGAAAGTTATTAAGCGTTCAATTTGTCGTGCAAGACGAGATTCACCTTGACTCTACCGGGCGTCTTCCAGAAATCCTCGTCACTCGAATTAGCTATGCTTTTCTTGCTGCATGTGTACGGCCCGCAAGATTTCGGATGATACTTTTGCAAATCCTGCTCAAATTTGCGCAATTCCCTCTCCACGAAAGCCTGTTCTTTCTTCAGCTGCTGTTCCCTCATTTCCTCCTGTGCCAATAATCTACAACGAGATAATTGATGATATGTAAGAATTACTTTTTAGTAAAGTGGATAAAATAAATGATAAAGAGACAAAAGGTGTTGCCGATTTATCTCGTAATAACTTGAGGATCACAAATCAAGGTAATCACAGACGTACTTCCTGGCTTCCGCTAGTATAGCAGATTTGTTCAAAGATTCGTGCAGATCTTCGCGAAATATTCTGTGCCGCGCGTCCATAATTATATTCGGATCGAGGAAGGTTTTCTTGTCATCCTCCAGCATCCGGCGCTTCTCGGACGGCTGGAGGATCGTCACCTTCATCATCTCGTTCATTAACTGCCTCGCTTCGTCGTCGAATTGCACCATGTCTGTCAGTTTGATCAACAGTTGCCTTCTTTCGCTGTTCACATCGATCGGCTAATATCGCAGACAGTGCCTGCTTGTCTTGTTTATGCGTGTCTGCTGCTGTTGTTAAGGAAAAGTCGCAGTCCCCCAACCCCAGGTGAATGTCCCAACCCTTATTCATGAGTTTCGCGGCAAAAGCGGAGGGTGAAGGTAACGGATAGTCGAAAGAGGAGAAAGAGAGCGAAACACTACTACGAATATTATTTTGCGCAGCGTATTATTATTCGTTGAAATAAATAAAAAAATTTATATTGATTTCTCGATGAAAATTACGTTCGTGCGTTATAATAATATGCAAAGTATATCTCAATCTGTAGATATAGCGCAAGATTACCGCATTCTAAAATTTATTAGATTTCAAGTGAAATGCGACGAACAGACAATTAAGAAGCAATCGTTTAAAGTTTATCAAAGATACTCCAGATTGAATTATTATTTAAATTGTCGGACGTTCGAAGTTCGAGTTTCAAAGTTTCCCGCCACTTCAACGGTGCTCAACCGCAATGCGAAGCTGACATCGTCAGATGTTGACGGGCCAGTGCCGCTGCAGCGGATGCATTAGAGAATGAGAAGTGCATCGACTTCGAAACCTATATGCTGAGGCTCTGGTAAGTCTTCTGTCGTTGAAAATACGGACTCTCGCTTGACAAACACCTGTTTCTGCTCGCGCGTCCGCGATGTCATCGGCTGTTCGCGTCGATCTCGCAACACCGAGGGTCGCACGTTGCGGATAGAAGGAAAGAGAGGGACCTGGTCCCCCCTGCAGCCTGTCAATCTTTCATCACACAGAACCTTCGAATGCGACTCTCTGGCAGGTGTAAACGACGAGATATCACACTTTTGGTGCGCTGCAAGACATAAGATGGATCCAAGGGGCCCTCCTGAGGGGGCCCCTGGCCATTCCTTCGAGATAGCGACATCCTTGAATATCGACAAGGGAGCTGACATTTCGGTCAACTGGCCTACTGATCATGCTTTTGCTTCGTCTTTGTACGAACAACCGAAAAAATCGAACAACAAACTCTTGTTCTTGACTGTAAGTAGCGTGTGACAATGAGTGACGATACAGTGATCAGCTGTCAACGATGTACTGGAACGATCGCTCTTTTGACAGGTGGAGTATGTGGAGGACCAACCGCGAGATTATTCCCGGTTATTTCCCACGTATGAGCAGATCTTTTCTCCGCGTGCAGCTTCTCCTCTGTCCGAATTTGAGCATCGTGTCAGTCCATTCGACCCGAATATGAGTTCTGCTGCCAGATACTCTCCTACGCCTGTCCAACTGCCTTCTTCTCCTTTTCACAATTCTGTCGTTGTACTTCAGGGCCCATCTTCCCCCTTGATATCCCAGCCAGAGTCAAATATAAGGACGAGTATCAATTATGTGACTCAGCTAGCTCATCCGATCGATGCTCAAGCTGTTACTCAGACAGATGCTTCTGCAGATTTTGTTGGTAACGGGAATGAAGAAGGGCTCGTATCTGGTGTCAATAGTGAATTAATTCTAATGCAGGGTAAGGGAATGATTTATTCACAATTTCAGATATACATGATAGAGCTATACAGTGCTCCTGTTTCTTAAATATGACATGTTGTCAAAGTACAATTTCTTACAAACTAAATATATATCTCACAAATATCATAATTACATGTACACACATATATTATATTTACAGAAAATGCACCCGAGTTGGAGTCTTCAACAACTCCCTTGATGTTAACAGGAATAGCAGGCACAGACTTTGCTCTCACCAGAGACTTTCTGGTGATGCAAGATGATCAAATAAATGTTATCAACACGTTTAAGAATCAAAACATAGATATAGAGGACAATCAATCAGAAGGTGTTGCAATGTGTAATACTTTGCCACCTGTCACAGAAGACTACAAAGTAAATAAAGACAGCAATAATGAATCTGTGCCAGAATGTGACAAGGAGATTCAACAGATTACCGAGGAGGCGTCACCTGAAAAGAAGAAGAAAACAGTTGAGAAGAAAGAAGTAAGGAGATCCAAACGACATATAACAGACAAAAAAGACTTTTGTAAGTATATTGCGTGAATAATTTCACATGGTTGATCTTAAGTATGTACTAATAAATACAATTCAGTTACATGTTGTATGTATATATACTCTTGCAGGGTGCGACGACTACGACGATAATTGCACCAAAGATGACACTTGTAACTTGCACGATGTGTGCACCATCGCGGATCAACCGGTACCATCGCGTGCTGTAGCAACACTGCCAGGATCATATCTATCGTTAAACAAACTTTCTACTACACATGCTACAGCAGATGAGGTGACTTACGGAGTGTTTGCGAAACGTGACATCCGAAAACGCACGCAATTTGGACCCATAGAGGGCGTATTGTGCCCTTATGACGGCTCATCCTTCGAAAATGCTTTGCCACTGCTCTACGAAACTGATAATGGCGAATTTATGAAAGTAGACGTATCCAACGAAAGTAAGTAATTATTCCGCGTGAAAGAAGTTTAGCTTATAAGATGTCAAGTTCAAATTTCCATCGCGATGTTTAGACACCTCAAATTGGATGCGTTTCGTGCGACCTGCACAGACGTATGAGGAACAGAACTTAATAATCTGTCAGCGAAAAGACGGAATAGTATTTCTTACCAACAAAAACATTTCGCCAAAGGAAGAGCTAAAGGCAGGTCCTAGTCTTGATTACGCGATTCGCAGAAGTCTATTCACACTCCAACCAGACACAAAAGACGAAAAAGGTATTAATGTTTAAATAAGAATGTTATCACTAGGGAAGATTGGGGCAAGTTTACAAGCAGTCTAAAGTAGGTCAGCATGTACAAAATATATATGATTCTACAACTTAAGAAATGTTTCATCGTTTGAAGCTAATTTGTAATAATAAATGAGGTTTTCTGCTACTGCCTAGCTTCTGACAAAATGCAAAAATATTTTTGATGACTAAATTGTAATGTTTTTTTATCTTTTATTTACGTTAACGTAATTAGATTCTTTAAAATTTATACGGCTGCTTCTCAATTAGACTTTTCTCTCTTTGAACTGTGATATGTTTTCAATTTTAATAAAATTCTAAGAAAAAAATACCTATATTCCAAAACGAACATTTCAATTTCGCTTTCGTTTCTTTGATGGTAAATATATGAACAAAATATTCTGCAAACCAGATTCCAGTCTCCTCTATATTCCCGAAATCATCTATTACGACATGTTCTTTTTCACTTTAACACCTTTTTTTCTTTGTAGAAATTCCTAATCAAGTATCGGCGTGGCCGCGCTTGGATAGTAATTCTTACAATCGTCGCATAAAAGTGTTCCGTGGCAGGAACATCAAAGAGAAAGAGAACTCGCAGCAGAACAAGTGCAAGGAGTGGAAATGTTCCTCTTGCAGTATGATCTTCAGAAAGTCGTCTCTGCTTAACTTGCACGCACTCGTCCATATCTCCAATGAGATCAAAATTGAGAATCAAAAGTCCACGTGTCCGCAGTGCGGATTAGAATTCCAAAAACAAAGCGAACTGGCGCATCACGTATCCCAACATGGGCGATCAACGCCACCTAAGGCGAAACGATTAACTCCCCTAAGTACATACAAGTGTTCAATGTGTTACAAACGTTTTGCTACGAAGATACGATTACAACAGCACTGTTTGGCGCATGGTGCTGAGGACCAAAAACCACTGCCATGCAATATCTGCTTGAAACGATTTATGAATAACTCGGCGTTGTCCGGTCATCTGAAAACGCATAAAGGTGAGTCCACAAGTAACGAGTCGATCGACGAGATTCAATTTGACACTAGGACTACCAACGATTAACATGACTTACTTCTATCAGAACAGTCAAAATTATAAGTTTTTGAAAAACATAAATAACACAAAGGAAGAGTAACCATTTTTCTTAATTCAACGATACAAAATGTACCGGCATAATTCTCTGAAATTTTTCGAAGCAATTAAAAAACCGATCACTTTCGACCGCTTTGGTAGTTCTGGTGTTAACTGCTGTACTAATTGCCGCCGTATTAATTCGACGATTACGATTCACAGAAAACAAACAAGCCTTCGAGTGCCCAATGTGCAGGCAGCTGTTTCGCCAAGGCACAATGCTGAAGGATCATGTTGAAACACATAGGAATCAAGACGGTATATTCAGCTGTCCTCACTGCCAGCGAACGTTTATTAAGTACTCGGTTATTCGCAAACATATTCGGGCACATCACTGCGAGAGGAAGCACAAGTGCCAGTATTGCGCGAAACGTTTCCCAACGGTCGACAAATTGCGAATGCACCTGCTGAAACATTCCGATCACAGGTACAGATTCGTGTAGATCGTGTAGATTCGTAATAACTGCACACACGTGCCAAGAGATTTGATCAGTTTTTATTTTTTCACAGAGAGTTTCATTGTGCGAACTGCGGCAAGCGGTTCAAGAGGAAGGATAAATTGAAGGAACACATGACTAAGATACACAACTCGCAAACGGCTAGCGAGGAACAAATGGCGCAGAGCCAGACGAAGAAATTCGTGCCAAAGGTAAGTAAAGAAAAATAAAAGTACGATAATTTTGCGTTCCGCTTTGTGTGTGTTGTTTATTTTATTATTATTAATATTTAAGTATATTTGAATATTAATATATAAATATTTAAATGAAATATTTGCCCAAATCAATAAATTGAAATAGGAAGAATTTACTTAGAAAATTTAAAAAATTTAATTGGTATTTTCACAATTTCATATATTATACAATCACTTTGTCGCAGGTAAATCCAAACGATTACAATCGCTTCATTTACAAATGCCATCAATGCCTGGTGGGTTTCAAACGAAGGGGCATGCTCGTGAATCACCTGGCGAAACGGCATCCCGACGTCGCTCCGGAGTCTGTGCCAGAATTGAATTTACCTATTATGCGGCAAACCAGAGACTACTACTGCCAATATTGCGATAAGGTTTCGTTTCGCCAAATCAATTCGCGCGTCAACGTCGAAATAAAATTCTTGTATATTCTCACACACGTATGTCCTCAGGTTTATAAGAGTAGCAGCAAACGTAAGGCGCACATTATGAAAAATCACCCAGGCGCGGCTTTACCGCCCAGTAACTGGCAAAAGGAGTCGGAGTTCTTAGGACTACCGAATCCAAGCTTCAGCCAAACGGTGGGCAGCATCACTACCACTCCTCAGGGTTGCCAATGGTGTCACAAACAGTATGCCAGCAAAGTGAGTCTTCCCTCATATCAGCTTGCACTCTTATCTGTAATAATAACATTCCAAAATTCACAACGTTGTAACGTATCAATTGCAATTTAAGGCGAAGCTACTGCAGCACCAGCGCAAGAAGCATGCGCACCTAATGGAGCCGGCTGATCAAGTACCGCGGCCGCGAAACCGACCGCCGCAGAATCAGAATCAACCGCCCGCGCTGGACGTCAACAACTTCGTAATATCCGACTATTTACAAGAGTGCGACATGAACGGGGATTTTCTCAAGCAGAAAATAATCAAAATCACGAGCGACGTTGATCTGATAAACAACGGCACGGACGCTGGAGTCGGTCAGCAGTTTGTGCGTATGCGCGACATACGCTGAAGAGAGGCGCGGCGTCCCCGCCAGCGGGGATGAGCGTCGACAATTTATCGAGATATGAATCTCGCGATCTTTGTACGCAGCTCAGACTAACTGCGAATTTTTTGGCTGCCGTCACCAAATCGGGACGACGCCGCCTGGAGAAGCGACGGCGGCGGAGCGTCTCGCTTGGGAATATTTGGGACACGGCTTTGTGTCGGCGCCAGTGCGAAACACTCGGCGCTGCTTTGTTGGTTGTACGTTGGCCGGTCGGCACAAGCGACGGTTACCGATGATAAAATAGTGACTTGTTGACAGATTTGTTGAGAAGAAAAAAAAACGGGAAGCACGCAGCTTTAAGAAAATTGCTTTGACCGAGCCTCGAAACGGAGAGGCAAAAATAGACAAGACAAAGAAAAAGAGACAGCGCCTAAACAAGTCGGCTGGATGAGATTCAGCGAGGCTCGAGGAAATCTACTTGCGACGGAGAGTACATTGTAATCTCGTATTGTTGAGGTCTTTCCTTGAAGTATTAATCCTTCGAGTGCGGAGCAGCGCGACAAGCTGGAGCGCTCTGCGTAGCTGGAGCTCAGGGAGATTTTCAAACGTTTCGTCTGATAACCGGTGTGATATCAAATAGAACAGAAGTAAATTAATGTTCTAAATTTAAGGTAATAAAATCTGCGAAACTGTTGCTAAAAGCTGACAAAGAGAGTAAAAATGTGCTGACAAGAAAGTTCTTGAAAAAAAAAACGCTGGTGGTTCCTGGCGAACTCTGAGCGCACATATACGTCCGCAGCACTCAAAGGGTTAAGAGTACCGAGCATAAATGAAAAAAAAAAACAAAAAAAAACAAAAAAGGTAGAACGAATCCTGGTACTATCGACACGTCCTTTGCGCGCTAGGGCCTGATAGATACTTTTAAAATCTATTACCAAGCTTAAATCCGATGTCATTCGAGTGTGAAGTAGATGGACCAAATTTAAGCTTCAAATTTGAGAGCGATGTTGAAGCCCGGCTTAAATTTGGCAGCGGCAGCGAATCCCCGCCGCGTCTTAGATCGGCGTGACTTCTTCTTACGTACGACGGTGGATGTGTTGGATAGCGATTCGTATCGCACCGCTCGAGTAATATTAAAAAGATCATTGTTCGCGACGCATTTGGCTTCATTCTCAACAAAGCGATTGTCTGTAGATTACGTGAAAGCTTGCAGTTTCTGCAGGTAATCGTCCATTTCACTTTTACTCTATCTCATTCTTTCTCCCTCTCTCTCTCTCCCTCTCTCTCTCTCTCTCTCTCTCTCTCTCTCTCTCTCTCTCTCTCTCTCTCTCTCTCTCTCTCTCTCTAACTTTCTCTCGTAATTCCAAGATTTCGTCGTAAACGCTTGTGTATACCGTTTCTCATTTTAGAATAATGTACGCGTACACGCGTCTTTAGAACTTCAACGTACTATTTTCACGTAATCGTTCCGCATAATCGCCGGTTCCATCCACATTATAAATCTAGCGTCATGCAATGCCGAGAGGAGAGCCCATTTGAAATCGTCGACTCGAGATGTCCGAGGTTTTTAAATCGACGCACAGTACTGTAGTTACGTAGACCAGAGGACCCTTGTCCTCATCGACTTTACGACGCAGGTGTAAAACGTACGTGTATTTTAAACTGTATACCCGACTGTGCGTCATTCAGACGTACAACAACAGGCACACGTACACCGAGAGAGAGAGCGAGTTTCCGCGATTGTCCAAGATTGTGTATTCTGCAACGTCCGAGCTCGGATAATTGTGTCCTTTTTCCGATAAGAGAAACCCATCCGGTTGGTGTATGTCGTGAACGACCGCGCGGACAATTTTCACACTCGGAGAGATTTATCAACGAAACGAAACGTTGGGATTTATTTTACACGCGGTATATACACGACATACAGACTTTATCGCAGACTACGAAGACGAAAGATTGCATGTTTGTCAATGTCGTTGAGTACATGGAAGGACTGTACTGTAAACATGACTTAAATAAAGTTATTCGATGAGCGATACACGACGAGCGGGTAATAATTTATTCATTATTATGTAGAACATCCGCACACGAGCCGCTAGTGACGTGAAGCAGCGGGAGATAGGAAGAAATCGCTGGAGCGTGTGAGCGTTAATAGTGTTAAATTTCGCTATACTTCGCTATGTTATAATAAAAGCGTACACTGTCGTACGCTTCGATCTCTCCGATTTAGCGAGTATGCTCACGAGATGGACGCACGTACCATGAAAAATATACTCGATACACGCGCTAAGGGGTGTATCTTCATATCGCCTCTACCTCGCCTTGCAACTCCTCTATCTGTTGATAGCGCTTTTACTTTCGAACTTCTCGCTGGCGATCGCCAGCGGGCCCACCGCCCCCGGCTTCAGCACCTGATGGTTCGGCGTGGCTGCGAGCGACCCGCCGCCCCGCTGCATCTGTGCGGCGTCGTACAGCTGCTTCTGCATCAACGCCAGCGAGACTTTGTTCGCGGACAAGAAATCCTTCATGGAGATCAACTCGCCGGACATCCTGCGAGGCGTCTCTGAATTCTCCTCGGCCCTGATCGAGTCCCTACCGACGAATCTGGTCGCCCGCCTCTTCGAGTAATATATAGTCGACACCGAGGACTGCCTCCTCGGCAGGTACGGCGCCGCCACGTCCCGATTACCGTATTGCAGCTTGTGTATCACGTAATTCAGGCCCTGCTTTATCACGATCGACGTGACGTTCAGCAATGAATATATGCAGCAGCAGCCCACCAGCAGAAAGACGAAATTCGCGAATCTGTACCTGCGTAAACGCACGAGATGCAGTTCTTACAGAGATTTATAAAGGTCGCGTGTGGCTCCACTTTCACTGGACTGACTGCTAATAACAGAATTGTCAACAAAGCCGAGATTTCAGTGGAAACCTCGAGATTCTCGTTTTTTTTCACAAATTGGTAACTTTCAGTGCCATCGCAACTTGAAGTTCTCACTTTAACGTGAAATTTACTTGAACGCACGAACGCACGAAAAAAGGAACTCTTCGTTCAGTTTCGTTCAGTTCCGTGAAACGCAGTCCGGTGAAAGAAAAGCTCCGCATTAATGATTAAATGATGCGCATCTTCGATTTCGTCGACTCGTGTGAAGACGTTGGCAACGCACCAATGTACATAAGGATAGCTCGGTTTCTGCGTGCTGACGTAGTCGCCGAAGCCGATGGTGGTGAAGCTAACGAAAGCAAAGTACAGCGCGTCGAAGTAATCCCAGCCTTCAAGCGGTGCGTAAAGTGCTGCGGCGCAACAGGCGATGATGCAGGAAGTTACGGATAAGTACAGCATAACCCAGTAGACGCTCGGTTTCCATTGGTCCAGGTCCACGTTGTCGTCGTCGTCGTCATCGTCGAGGATGTCTGGCAAGGATGGCTTCTGGGCGCTCGACGACTTGGAGACGCGTCGGGAAGCCAACGTGCTCCGGCGGAGTTTCTTCAGACGGCGCACGTGCCAGCAGCGCAGAATCCAAGCAAGGAAGGTGATGATTCTCTCCAGAAATAGATTGAAGAACAGAATGCCACCTGAATCACGTAACAGTACTTGTCAATGACGTTAAACAAATAATCAACCTTTCAAAATCTCTATCTTCAATTCGGAAGCTTCCATGTTAGATCTATTTTTTACGATGAAGAAGGCGCAAACCTATCGCACAAAGATTGCACAAAAGGCAGATCTATTGATCGCAGCAATTTTTCAATGACCGTTGATTGCGCCTTTTTTTAAGATGTTTCGCGTTAGAGATTTTCCTTTTCGCGATGAAGCGGATATTATTACCGGAACAACCGAAGAAACCATAGAGAACCACGGCCGCTTTGCCCGCCGTTGTTTGCGGCGCGGTGCTTCCGTATCCTGAAAATAACGTCGGAGTATCATCATCACGCCTCTTTTCATCTTAGAAGCATATTACACACACGGAGACGTACACGCGCATATAGAGAGATCGATGACCAACGGACAGCCGTGGGGATAAGTGCGAGACTAGGTCGCAAGATATTAGCATTCCGGAATTCACCGGTACATTCTCATGCATGCATCGGCCGACGACCCTTACCCCTTTATTTAACGTCATTACGACCAAGTTTTGCGCTCGGGAATGCGATCGTTTTTTAACGCGCTGTCGCGTCCTTTTCGACAGCTCTTCTCTCGATCGTGTAGAAATACGAATACAACAGGGTCCATAAACATCCATAAATGATCAAGTATTTCAAAATGAAGCATGTATTTAAAATCTGTAGACATACAGATATATAATGTACATTATAGATACATTTTTTTTTCGTTAGATCCATAGACAAAGCTCTTGGCTTCTAATCAGCGGTGTAGTAAATTGAATATTTCATAGCACGTTAAAAACATATTTGTTATTACACAAATCAAGTAGAAAACTGATAAGAATAATAGAACCAAGTATAACATCGTAAATGCCCGATTACTTCTGGCTATTCCTAATAATTACATATAATCAACGACGAGCAATTATACCGATTGAAATATATTTTATTTGATTTAGCGCTAAATCGATAACGAAATAAGTAACAGACGGAGATGATTTCTTCGAGCAATTCTATTACTTTCGTCAGGATACGCGAATATGCTAGTTGAAAATGATGTGCTGTAAAATCATGCCAGCTCATCTCCGTGAAGACCGATCTTCCCGTGACTTCTCGAGGACAAGAAGAATCCGAAAGAACATGAAACATGCGACACGAATCCCACTAACCCCGATATCCTTCGGTCACGATACGAAACATTTCGAATAATGCTTTCTATGCAGAGTACGGCTGCGTTTCTTACCGATCGTAGAGACGATGGTGCCCACAAAGTGAAAGCTACCGGGAAAATCCCAGCGGCGTCTTTTGTTGATAATGCCAATGGCGGAAGCGTTGCCGTATGCGTACAGGAGCTCGTGTAGCCTCTGCAGGGCCAAGGGACTACCTCGTAAGTGATGCCTTCGAAACGCGTGGTAAACCCGCCAGAATTCCGTGGCCTGCGATCCGAGAACGAAAAGGACAGCGTGGTAGAAAAATCGATATCGAATTGTGCGAACTCGTATTAAACATCCAATGTCAAAATTGCAACATTCAAGTTCTAATTTGTTATTACACTTCGCACGAAGTTCGCACCGCGACATCTCTCTCAAGCGACTTCTCCGCAGTGAGAAGTGTATTTTATTCCAAATTTCCGACTTGATTTCAAAATTCAAATTCATATTCTCGGGTTCATATATCCTCTCCAATTTTTTCTCCAAAAATTATACGACAGACAAACAACAAGAACATGTGCAACTTCCGAATTTCTTTAGCGGACGCACTGTCTGTATACCTGCCGTATTTCGAGATCGCTCTCCAACCTTTGGAAGAGCACCGCGCCTGCGAGCATGTACGCTACCAGGACGACGGCGAGGAGGATGAACCTGGCGTTGTCCTCCGCGAGACCTCCGCACAAGCACATCACCGGTGACTCTCATCTCTCCGACGCCGGTGGATCGCTGCACGCGATCCCCACCGCCGCTCTTTGTCCGGAGCGGCGCAAACTCAGCAGCCGAGTAGGAATTTGCGAATAAATACAAGGACGCGAGCGGAGCAATTTGAAGAACACTTCCTCTTTAAAGCACACACACACACACATATAGATACCGCATCTGCGAACGGATGATTGCGTGAAAATACATACATTTTCCGGGTAATACGATTTTTCCGTCAAGGAAAACATCAATTCTTCGTCGCGGATTCATCCCCCCGACGCGCGCCGGGCAAATTTTGAATTCGCAAAAGCGTCCTCTTTTTACATTCACGTGAGAAGGAGCGACAAGTCGATAGAATTAATCGACACGAGATTGAAAAATATCCTAATTGCCTCGCATTGATGACACGACGTTCCGCGCGACGTACAGAAGGCCGTGATATATGTGGGGCAATCCGACGCGCGGTACTATTGAGAGCAAATCCTTTGAAGAGGTAAAAATAGTAATGCAAACACTCGCTTGCGTATTCAACGCGTGAACTCCGCCTAGGGGATGATATCTTTTCGTGAAAAGTAACTTTAAACAAACGCGCCGAGTAATTAACCGGCGAATGCAAAAGAGACGGATGCTAAATTGTGACCTTACACGCTATGGTGAATGCCTTCGATTCTACTGATTGTAAAAAAGTCGCACGGGTGTATTTCGGGGAATGCTTTAAATCCAATGTTTAAAGATTTCGTTTTGGACCGAGGAAGGACAGAAATAGAGAGGAGAACGACGGAGAGAGTAAATCGTAGACCTCGTCTAATAAAAATATTCTGTTAACAGTCAAAATCTGGTCAACAGCTAACGACGCTACAATCTCCGCATAAATAAACACATATTGTCGGTACTTTCGCGCACTGAGAGATTATTGTACACTCGTTTGCACATTCTTATCTCGATGAAGCTGCGAGCACATCGAGGAATCGTGAGTTCAAGTGGCAATCTGTCATGGCAGGAGTCGAAAAGTAACAGCAAATATAAAATGTCACAATTGCAACAAAGAACTCTCAAGAAAAATGTTTTTTATCTTATTCCGTATTTATATTTATATTTATATTATATTTCACATTATTATATATATTTATTTTTTATTTTAATATAAAAGGCTACTGTTTGTACCATGTATGCACTCGGCTTCTATCACAATATCGATATCGGCAGTGGCATGAGCAGTGACTGGCTCGTAAATGTAGGCGTTTCGATACGCTAATTCAATCGGAGACATGTGCTTATCGTTGCGCAAATGAGTGTACACGTATAAAAATCTACATAGCATAGATACACAGTACCGCTTACATCATATGCTATATAATACTATTACACTTCAGACACTTATCGAAGCTCTGTCCACACAACGCGTGCGCGTACTTTGTATTAATAATATTTAAAATCTGACAGATGGCCGCTCATGCAATCGCTAATGCCTCGCTTGCGGACCTTCCTCCAATTTTCGCCAGACAACCTGAAAGCAAGAACGATGTTGGAACGATTAGTCATACGTATCACAGAGAAAAAGAGAAAATCCTATCACTGGATCAACTGGTGGAAAATTCCTTCAAAGGATCACATCGAACGAGTATGACAATGGAACGCTCACTTACATTGCACATTTCTCTGACCAACGCCTTTTCACCGTCGTGGCCTTCTTCTCTTTCCAATTGTTCTCGAACTTCGAGAACCTGAAGAGCTCGTACTACGGCCTCCGGTCGACTTCCCAAATGAGGATTGTCGTTTGGACTACTAGGGCTCTCCCAGACCTCACCTGGTGGTACTTCCCAACCTTGCGCACGGGCCTGGAGAACGCTTTTGTCCTCCTCCAGCTGCTTCACCCGTTGTTCCAGACTCCTTACGTACTGCATGGTTTGGTCTGCGAAAGATTCATAATAAGTAAGTCATTTCTAAGCGCAGGGAGATCGTACCGGTGGAACACATCCGCGCGCGTAACACGCGTATATTATTCGCGCGATTCTGCGGCGGTATATTCTAATGTTACACTTTCACTCGCGAATACTCTCTGCTAAACTCACGATATTAGCGCGCTTTCGTTGAAATTTCATTTCCCGCTCTTTACGCGAATTATCGCATTCGCGCGAAATGATCATTCTCTCCGCGCCAGATTGATATCTCATCCTTTTTACAGGAGCTCCTTTCTTTCCGTCCGCGTTGGGAAACGACATGTTTTCGCGCGTCAACATCGGACGGGAAAAGGTCAGCATTTTTGCTAGATTTTACCGTTAAATGTGGAAGCATGCCTCGGCCTCGGCGGCGCAGTCTCCTCGGCGTTCGTACTCGAACTTGATCCATCGCCGTCGTCCCTTTGCCCGCCGCCGCGTTCCTCGTCGAGATACAGGCACAGCTCTTTGAGCTCGAGATTGTCCTTGATCAGCTCCTGCTGCTTGTTGTCCAGCTGGCGCAGTTTGTTCTGATAAGCCGAGACCTCCTGGCGCATAACGCTCACCGTGTATCGACCAAACCTCTGCCACTCTCTCGCTAGCTTGCGACCCTTTTGTCGATCGTCGTCCAAGAAGCAGCAAAGATCGCGCAGTTCTTGGTTGTCGTCATTCAGTCTTTGGTTGGCCTCTTTCAACGCTCGCAGTTCGTTCAGCTGGAAAACAGATAGCTTTGTCAGAAAGAACGCACTCACTCACTCACTGCGGTCCTTGAAGCAACAGCCGTCAAGAAATCCGCTCCTCGCGGAGTTTTATGTCTTTTTGTACATAGTCGAGAATAAATAACACAAATTCAAGTCTATACATGAAATGTAATATAAGCAATATATGTCTGTTGTATTATATAATAATATATATAATTAAAATAAAATAATAAAGGCCTGTAAGAAAAGAGCTGATCGCAGAATATTAATACGAATGATCTTGTTAAATAATATGAGTTGAGTTCTTGTTTCTACGGGAATATTGAATGCAAATATTTAGTTCTACTTGATGATACGAATTGGCACAAATTCTGTCCTTTGTATTTCTTTTTATTTTCTTTTTTGGTCTTGCTAGCATAAAATTACGATTGATATGGTATAAATTAATACAAAATAGATATTCGAATAGGAAAGACAGTTTCATTAGGAAATAGGCAAAGATTGAGAATTTAAGATTATTCATATTAATATTCTGCGATCGGCTCTTACAGACTCTTGTTACTCCTGATTATACATGAAAATTTGTACGATCACGTGAATTAAAACGTAAATTAAAAAGCTGTGTGAAAATTATTCGACTACATTAATGTCCTGCGTGTTTATGTGTTTATGCATATTCACCGTATACGCAACATTCTACATCTTTCATTCAGCCGGATAGCTCCTGAATTATTAATCGGCACGCGAGAGAGAGATAACGGAGTCATTGATCTCACGCGTGACGTATTCGCTGCGTGGTATACGGTGATTGCCGAAAAAAAGTCCTCGCGCATTCATCACGCGTGTACGAAGGATGCGTGACCAATTTCGGCCAGGTCGTCCGGGCGTTTTGCCGGTCAAAAGAAACCGATTGTCCCCACGATCGTTTGCGGTTTATCTCGCGCGTATGCGTGACTCCTCGAAATTACGACGATCGGCTCAACCTGTATGACCTACAAGAGCCTCCGAAAAACTTCCGCGTAGTGTGCCCAACATCTCGTGAACGCATCTCGCATCTCAAAAATATGACGAGATACAAGATGATATTTTTACAACAAATTACAGTAATGTAATATTAAAAAAAAAAAAAAAAGACAGAGATTTATCTCTGTAATTTTAGTTGGGTGGTTCTTATCAAGTTAACGTTTAAATAAACGTTAAACAAGTTAATTAATAAAATTAAGCAAGTTAAATTGAAGTAAATAATACAATTAAATAAATTTAAGCAACAGCGTTTAAGTTAACATTTAAGGTATCTGAATTTGACAAGTTTCATTCGATTTCAGACTTTCCCTCGTTGGAATTTTAATCAAAAATTCGACCGTGAAGTCACAGAATGTTAAGAGGCCATGAGATAATAAGCAACGATTTCTTTCCGTAATTTACACATCCAGGTTTTACGACGTAGACGACGTCCGATACGATCAGACTCAGTCATGAATTACGACGACAGAGCGGAATCGTAAAATTCAACCGGCCAACTCACCAAGCTCTGTATTTGGCGATTCTGCTCGGCGGCGAGCCTAGCGATATCACTCTCGGTCTTCCGCACGAACTTGAGCATCTCCACGGGGCCGAGTCGCAGGAATTCGTCGTCGCTGATCCTCTGCCTGACCGGCACGCTCTGGCCGCTGCTTACCGCCGGGTACTGGCTGCTGGGCGGCAAGTACGGGCCTTGACCGAGCTTAGACTGCTGGAGGTAGGCTGGCTGCGGCTGCTGCTGCTGCTGCTGCTGGACGCTCTTGGACGCCGCCGACGCGGCGATCAACGCGTTAGCCGGCTGAGAATGATGATGATGGTGACGATGCTCTATTCTCGGCGAATACTTGCTCTGCGCATCTTTCTGTGACTGCTGTTGCTGCTGCTGCGGTGGCTGTTGGCTCGGCTGTTGCGTCAACTGCTGTTGCTGATGTTGCTGCTGCTGTTGCTGGTGTTGCTGCTGTGAAGACGGCAACGTGCGCGGTTGCGTGGCCTGATGATGGCTCAAGGTCGCGCCCGGACCTTGACTGCTGCCGGTCTGGCCCGAGCTCGGCGCTGACGACGCTCCACTGGCGAAGTGAAGATGATTCTTCAGGATGCCACTGGTAGGTTGTGGCGGCGGCTGGTAACGCGGTGGCAGCTGGTCCACTGACTTAATCACGTGCGGAGGAGGATGATGCTGCTGCGGCTGGTGCTGCTGCTGATGATGCGGCTGCTGATGCTGCTGCTGCTGCTGCGGCTGGGACTTACTCTTATTGGACATCGCGGCTAATTTAGCTCCAGGCTGCGCCGTGTCCCATTTCAGAAAGTCCGCCGCGGTCTCCTCGCGCCGGCTCGCCTCGTTCGACCCGCCGAAATCTGGGTCAGTGCGCGGTCTCTCACGAGCAGGCCCGGTCCGCGAGACCGGCCCCGCACGATACATACGTTCCCTCCACCAACCTCACGGACCTCGCCTTATCGCCGTAGGGGGCCCTACTCGTGCGAGGCGCTACTCTCTCGACGGCCGATTTCTGCTTCTTTCTCTCTCTCTCTCTCTCCCTTTGCCTCCTTTTTTTTTCTTCTCTCTCGTATTCGTTTCTTTCACTCTTTCTCTTGCCTCTTCCTCTCTCCCACGTCTTCTTTCGCGCGCTTCTTATTACGGATACCTGCACCTGCCAACGGCGCCTCGCTGTCGCGTGTCGTGACGAAACGGAGCGATGAGCGATGAGTTTCTCGCGAAGAATCTCTCAATTTTCCGTAATCCTTGCCGAAGGAATCTAGCCAGAGTCACGTTTATGACTCAGTTTATCCGTTTATGACTCAGTTATGACCAGTTCCTTCCTCTTCAGTTATCTCTACTGTCTGTCTTGTAGCCGACATCATGATCTAGGAAGAGACACAAAGAAGAAGTAGTTATCTCCCAGATAACTAATTGTGTTTGGTCGGAGATAAGTCAGACTAATGATGACTTTTTCCAAATTATTCACGTCGCAAATTAGTCACGTGTCACAGGTGATCGTTCGCTGAAGGTGAAGAAATCACACCTTGATTGTGTCAGATAACTACGAGTCGTATCTTGAAACATGCACTATACACTTCGGAGAAGGAATTGAGAGAGTCACATTGTCACTTCAGAGTTGAATCGATAGTCGTAAAAGTTGGACAACAGCAACATCCTCCTGAAATATTCACTGTTCTCAGTATGTGTTCAAATGTATTCATTGAATACATTTATACAGTGCTATATGTTGAATATTATTCGCTCACACGTACACACACATACACAACATCGGGATCACTATCATCCTGCCACGATACCGTTCAACTTGCACACGCAAGTAAGCGTCACTTGCGACGGAGACTGTCGCGATCGCACAATCGCAGCCGTCGCATTAAACTCAAGCCCATGTCGCTGACAATCGACATACCAGTCTCTCTCTTTCTCTCTCTCTCTCTCTCTTTCTCTCTCTCTCTTTCGTGCACTAATCCCCGGCCACGAGTATGCCACGAGTAACACCAATTCCCCTCTATAAGCATTCACCGTCGTGTCCCGTCTCTTTCTCCGGTTTCGTGCCAAGGGAAGGAGCACCCTTCGCCTCAGTACAGCGAAAGTTCCGCTGAAGCACGAGTCACAACTAATTTTCTCTCTTCACGCGTTCTACTCCACTTCTCCATGATTTCGTAAAGGAAAGAACACTTCCTACGTTTCGATAGAGCGTAGCAGATCTCAACTGAGCGCGAATTGCTCCAATCGTCTTTCTGTCAGCATTCGCTATATGTCACTCGTCGAGAAAAGAACACTTTTGCCTTCGTACGTCGCCGGTACCAACCCAAACCCACGAATCACGCTGGTTTCTGTTTATCAGTGCACATTATCATGTCGCACGTCTCCCTCCTATTGGCACGGAAGCACATTCTTCGTGTAGCGTAAATTTCTGCGAAACACACGAGTCATAGTAGCTTTTTATCAATATTCACAAATCACACATTCGACTGTTTTTATCTCCCTACAATCACCGGTTACCTTGGTTAATCTCAGAATGTTGTTTCAATCACGAATCGTTCACCTCCGAGTGACTCAGTTCTACGTAACCGTCATCTCACCAGCATAATTGACACCGGACTCGAAGCCGTCCAACTCGCGCTATATCCTCGACCTATGATCGTCGCCGTCGTCTTCGTTGTCGTGGTGTTGCTGAAAGGTTTCCCCCCGCACACGGGCTCCAGTTCTTGCAAAACACGCGCATTCCGCGCGCTGTCAGTCGATCGCACCTACGTGTGCCGGCCACGACGGCGGTGGGCCCAGTTTTCAGGGTTTCGTTCACGATTCGTTCGCGGCGGCGGCGGCGTCGTATCCGCTCCACGTTCTCCTCACGAAGGCCTCTTACCGGTCGCCGTGAGACTGCTGTGGCTGCACACCGCGCTGCTAATGCCCTGGCTCGTTCGGCCGCTGCCGCCACACGCCGGGTCCCCGTTTTTCTCGCCGCGGGGCCGCATTTCACTGGGATGGATGCTCAGTGCCGTACTCATCCGACGAAGCCGCACCAGGTGAAACTTGAACGTCATAAGCACGCATAATCCGGAGAGCGTAGCACTCCGGTTATCTTGACGCACCACAAGAGATCGCGAGATCACATCGTATCTCGGTTACAAGTTAGTGACATTGTTGCATTGCATAGAACTTTGTTGATTCTTGCGTGCGACATCTCGCAAAATCATCCTTGTTATCTTTCTCACTGAAGTACAGAGCTGATTTTGTGAAGCTTTGAAGTTTCAGTTAAAATATCGGGGAGTCTTTTTGTTTTTCTTCTTCTTCCATCTGTAATGTTAATCGTAAATCTCATATTGTTATAATCATTTCTATGATGATTTTCTTTTCTGTATGTTATGTATTTTACGTTTCGAATTACTTTCACTCTGTCCCTCAACAGGAAATGAATGTCTTTCTATCCTTGCTCCCGGTCGGTCCCTTTTTGATGTCGCCCGATATAACGATTTCCCGAGTATCCACGACCAATTCGTTGTTAAAACTGCTCCGTGCGTGGTAGGGCCCACGGTTTAGCGCGAAGTTGTTGATATGTGTCGAATCGTAAACTCGTATGGATCATCGAGCGAATATGTCCATTTTCTCCCACGCGAGTTCCGACGCACATAATTCGCGTTAAAGTCGCGCACTAACAATATGGCGGTTACTCGTGGGACGTGAAGTGATTGCGGACGACGCCGGGGCCTTATGGGCCCCGGCGCGGGAACGTGCCGCGATCTCCCGATTGGCTCGAGCAGAGACGAAGGGAAAGGGTTGAAGCGTGAGCTCCGAAGTCGTGGGAGGTTGCCAGCTCCGAGGTCGGTACGCACAGGCTCTCAGCTCGTCGGGGGCTAATAGCGACGTCGGGGAGATCGATGATGATAAATATACCATGTTGCAATGCGCTAATGCGAATATGTGTAATTATATTCTTCTCCGTTGAAAGTACCAAGGATAGTAGATTATTTTCGCGAGTCATTCTCGTTTATTTTGTCGTTTATCGAGACGTACGTTCTCTGCAAAGAATATAGATTAACTTAGAAAAACCGACATAAATCTATTCTGCGATGTTGATTGATTTTCTAACTTGGAAAATAATCGATAATTAATCTCAATAATTGTTTTGATGATTGATAATCAATAACCACCAATTATGAATTCTGAGGGTCGAAGAATTGATTACATTTTGGAATGAGAAATCCTTGTGTTCTGTGATTTACTCTTACATAATGTGAAAAGATAAGAGATTAATCTTTTCACCATATTTAACAAGTGACCTTACGGCAAATTCTCGCAATTATTCATGGAGTATCTCGTGAGACTTTCCAGAGACGTCTGACTCCTCAACGGAAAAGACTGATTTGACCAACAAGGGAACATTAGACGGCAAGGACGAAGCATGTGATTCCCATCGATTGTGCCAACGGAAAGAAGTGCTTCCTTTACTCATTAATCATTAATGTCAGTAATTACACAGGAATTTCTCAGGAATATGCATACCAATCCAACTAATTTTTATCATGATTTATTTTTAGATTGAACTATTTGAGAGAATTTTTTCTTGGGTAAATTTATATGTTAATTCGATTGAATTATATGAAACGTAATTAAAATCTAAACAATAAAGTTTCATTGTTTATTCGCAGCTTGCTTACAAAGCTGCAGAATTAGAATATGAATAAATTACGATACTTTAAAATACGCTCATCACTTTCGCGGACTGTACCGCACGACAGGTGTTACTTCCTTCTTTACGTTCGTTCGCTCGTCCACCGGCTGAGGCAATCTTCGAAAATATTCTACCTGCCTGCGTTCCGATACAAATACATCGAAGACGCACCTGCGTTCCAGTGGCGTTTGCGTTTTATGTCCGCTACGATGGGGCGCTTGACAAATGAAGGGACCAGATAAAATCCCAAACCGTTCCTTTAAATCCGGTTTCACTGGCCATCGTAGTGTCGGGAAATGCTTTCATCAAGTCAAGTAGTCGAGGTTGCGTCTATTGTATAGTTACAGAAAAAGAATTCTTTTATTATGTAAATACTTGAATACTATATCCAGATACAATGAACTATGTGTGAGACTATTAGTTGATAGTAATATTATTAAATATATTATCCTAAAACAAATACAGCATCCAAACCAATCAATACCAAAGTAGACTTTCTTCAAGCAGAGAAAAAAATATAAAGAATATATAACATTATAAAAGATTCATTGATCAAGAAAGGATACAAATTTTTTAACGGTATGTTATACACAAGTATGCAACAAAATCGACATATGTAAAAATCTTACTGTTTATTGACTACATACTGTTTCAACTAGAGTTTTAATGTGGTTATTAAATTCCTTGAAACGTACCTCATCGCCAAGCTTCGCGACGACTAGCAGAACCCGAGAAGAACATTGACTTTACCGACTATGCAACGCGCGAACATCACTCGGTACTCACGTTTGATCAAAGCATTTACTTCAGACGAGATATTTGAGCAACATACTGCTGAAATAAACGTACATAATTTATCTCAAGTACTGCCACAATTCGCATAAGAGACCTTTTGGTCGAGCTTAAAGCATATAATGTAGCGATTTAAATATACAAGTCTCAAACTACCATAACACGGCAACAGCCACAACTTTATTCGGTCTTTTCAAGGAGCTGCTGCATGTCATACTCACGTTCAACAACTGCTTAATGACATTTCGTCATGACAAACTCATGGAGCTCACTTTCGACATCCTCAGCAACGATAATTCATACGAGACTCACCTTCAGCAGACTGAAATTAGGAAGCACGTAACGGCTTTCTCGGATCTGAACCATCGCGTCGCCATTGTAACTATTGCAAGTTGCGATTTTTGATACAGCGATTAGTAAGTGTCGATATTTTCGATGCGGTGAGTCGATCACTCACGATTCAAGACAATCGATTTTTAGCGCATCCTCTGCACTTCGAGTGGAACAGTCGTATACTTATTTATTTATTTATTTTCTTTATTACCTTTCCTTGAATTTTGCATTTGGATGGCCAATGGAAACGCCAGTTCCGGGCCAACTACAAAGAAGAGAAAGAAGTACATATTTAAGCTCGAAAGAGAGAAAAAGAAAGAGGACCAAGCGCGGTATTTATAACCCAATCTCGCGTTTAAGATTGTTTTAAGTTCATATTTTGGCGCCAATCTATAACCAATAATACCATCCGTACACATCTAAAGATGAATTTGAATGATTTTATAAATATAAGATGGGACTATGAACAAGTGCCCAGAGTGCGGAAAGAGCGAGCGAAACGAGCAGTCTGTACCATCAGAGTAGTTGGATTAATAAGATACCGGATTCTTCCAGCAGATGACGCGAAGGCTGCAAAACGCGGCTACGTTCATGGCGCATCCACTGGAGTGCATGGCGCATACGAGCCGGAGGGCGATACTCAACTCGCGGCAAATAAAAGAAAATCAATGCCCGCGGCATCGTCATCCCCGTGCGCGAGGTGTGTCGAGGGCAACGAGGACGGTCTCGAACGACTTTGAACGTGGCTTCAGCACGTACAAAGCCACGCTAGTCGCACGAAGAGCAAGAACTGTCCACGAGGGTTACGCGGACTTCGCGGGCGGTAGAAGAAGAGGTGGTGCATCGGCCGATCGGCGGGATCGATTTCACGGCCGAATCGTATCCGTCGAACGGCATCGTACCTCTCGCACGAGCGATCGGGTGTCCTTTGCAATCATGATACTCGAAAACACCAGCGTCCATCGGCGACTTGGCAAACGCAGCAGAAGCGTTCGCAGCATGAACGTCCAACGGGAGCTGCGTGCGATATATCGGATCAGAGTCTGCAATCCCGATTAGACGTGATGATGACGTGCGGTGGAGCGGACCAGGTAAATTTTTGTTTTGTAAATATTTCCAACGACGCACCGACCTAGTTAGATAACAGTTAATAAACTTAATAAAGTCTGCGAATTGGATCGGCGAGATAATAGATCGCGGCAAGTAGTGCCGAGTAATGAGAGGTGTATTAATAGTAGCTACGAGGAGAGTGTTTATTTTAGCGTTAGAATCTCATGAAGCTAACTTTCGGAGAATAGATAAAGACGCATCTGTAACGTTCACGCCTCCGGGTTCGGTTTTTCTTTTTGATCGACCGGCACTGCGCTCTTGATCGTTCGCGACGATTCGGGTGCAGGAATCTATTAGGAGAAGGTGATCGTTGTTAATAATCGAAACCTGTGTGCGTGTGTGTGTGTGTGTGTGTGTAAAGTGACGCTTTATTTTTCTTAGCATGCGGCGACCGTATGTCGTCGCGTGATGTCCCACTGCTTGTTGTGGCGTATGGCTTTTGTTACGCTATCGTCGTTGTAGATTGATAGTTCGCATACACGAAATGGCTTTTACCCGCTGGACAATTAAAAAATAGTTTCATGCATCATAACGTGCAAGGCGTACATGAAATAACTACTCGGACACAAATTATATACAGATCTATGGATAGATGATTGTAACGGTGAATCGGACGGTCTCCAGAAACGGGAATTCGAGGCGAGCGTTGCCGGTGTATTCTGCTAGATTTAAAAGGCCGTGCCTTCGATGCGGTCTACGGCTGCTGGTCGCAAGAACGTCTACAAAAACGCGTCGCGTCGCGTCGCGTTATCTCTAACGCGGCACCTAAGAACTCGGCTGCGGGTCGAGGCGCGAGAACAAAGCAGCGGTGTTTCTTTATTGATTCGGTCGCATATCACGAGGACAAGGCGTATGTTGAGACGAATTTCCTTTTCCTTTATGAGAGGAGCGGGGGTCGCCGTGGGTTTATAGCGTTCAAAGGCGCGATGCGTTTTAGAGCGCGGACTTGCAATCGCCGGCCGCCGGGCCGTGCGGCCGGAGCTCCCTGTTGGTAGTGACGAAGCTCTATGCGGCCGTGCCCCTGCCTTCTCAGAGTCCTATATGAAGTAGAGAGAAAAAAGAAAACATAATTACGAGAACGTTTCGGAAAACACACCGGAGCAACGACAAACTCGCCGTTCGATCTCTAAATCGCCATGACAGAGAGTAATCGCGGTTGCCGACGACTGCGGCCTGGTAGATTACTCACCCTGTTTTTGATTCTCTGGAGGCTCTCTGAAGATACTCTGTGACACTTCTGGGGAAGCACGATCCGAGAAGACTAATCCCTGGTTGAATTTCATCGGGATTATATACCCGTGATTCTGCATCCTCGGTTTCTTCCGGTCATAATTCGTGGATTATCCCGATTATCATCGGGATTAATCGTGAGGATGCGGCGGTCGCCGATTATTTTTTTCGGCGATGCCGCGAATTCGGCTCGGCGGCTGATCTTTCCCGAGCGTTATAGCCTGGTGTTCGACTAATGGTCGGCTGATGGTGAGCGCTTTCAGGCGCGGTGGTAGCGCGATGCGGTGGGGGGCGCGCCCTCAGCTGACTGCCGCGTGATGTCTAGCGGCAGTCAGCGTAACGAGCAAAAAGTTTTAATCGTTACACATCAATAAAAATGTATTAGAACACAGTCTAATATAATAAAAAGAGACAGAGAGAAAGGGAGGGCGAGGGGAAAAGCGGAAAAATTGTAACATACATAGACACGTGAACGATATATATTGGATACGTAAAAAAAAAAGTAGAGCACACACGGGTACGAAGTATAAAGAAGGAGGGTCCCTAAGGCCTGTTTTCGGCACCCTTCAAAATTGGACCAAAATGGCTGGAATCACTTCCTTATACTCTTGGAAGTAATATTTAGTCAATTCCAGCCTAAAGCTAGCTCCATTCCAGCCTAGAGCCGGAAATATTTAGAGTGTATACTTCAAGTATAGATGGTGCATCAGCGCGCCCGTATCAAGCATTTATTTGAAAAACTAAGCGTTTCTGAGAAAAATATTTCAGATAAAAGTTGTATGGTTTCAAGGGGGACATAAGATGGTGTCATTGGTTTGACCTTGGATAGTCATTTGAAGGTCACGTGAATGTCGATTTCAATATTTTACCATATATATAGGGGTATATAGAACCCCCTATTTTTACATATCTTGTTACTTATCTCGAGAGCTTTCCAAAACACTTATAACTAAGTCATTTTTCATTAAGTACTTTGCGAGCTATGAGGCTTCTTACAGATAGATTTGTAGAAACGTTACTTAAGGAGATCCGAGATTGAAATCATATTATTTATTCTTGTTGATTCTCCACACGTGAACAGTAAAACCTCAAGATGTCGCCACCTTTTTTTTGCGATATACAAAAGTCGAATATTAAGCATTTTCTCAGATCTGATTTTTCATAAATAATTTTTTATTCTTGTATCATTTTCTTTATTTTATTTTTTTTATTGGTTAATATTCATACAATCGGGATATTTTTAATATGTATGTAATTGCAAATAAAATTTCGCAACAGTGGACATTTTACTTTTAAATGCTCTTATGTCCGTTTTGAAGCTCGATTAGTTTATAAAATGGTAAACAATATATTTTAATATAAACAGATGTATCTTACATTGTTGTTTTTTCTTCTACGGTTGTACGGAATTGCATCATGTTGCGATTTTGCGTAGTTTTACAGAATATACTGAAAGAAAAAGAATAGAGAGAGCAAACAGGTTAAGCAGGTGTTATGACCGAAGTATTTTGTTGCGGTGAGTCGGCGAGTTCTCTTGTGTAATTTGATCTCGCGGTTTGAGCTGAAGAGGATTTATATCGTCACGTTTAGCCCTAAACTTGGCAATGTATTGCAAACGACAACAATTCTATTTTTCGCTGTTTATATAGTAGTCGTAGATTATAAAACGTAAATCTGAAGAATATGTGCGCGAGTGGTAATATACTTGAGGTCACGATGGAGGATCGAAGTTCGCAATGAAATCAATTGAAAATATTTTGCGCATGATATCAATTTTCTTTACTTCTTGTTGCTCGGAACATGCTAATCTTTGTGTGATTTTACATATTCGTAATTAAACTAATTAATAAACAGCGATTTACGATATGATCGTATCGCTTTACTTTGGCAAGTGAATATCGTAATGTTGCTATATTATAATTCAGCAAAAAGAACGTGGAAATAATAATATCTATTTACGTGCAATATACATATGCATTATATATATATTTTATTTCATTGATATATACAAAACAAATTATCGAATTTCTTTCTCTTTCTCTTCGTTGGGGGATATTCGCTATAAATTAGTTAAACAAAAAATATCTTGAATGTTAAGCAAAGGAATTTAAACATGTAAGGAACGATAATCAGGATATTAGCAATTTATAGAAATTCAAGGGCTGCTGCACGCATTTAAACGCGCGCGCGCGTGTGTGTGTAACATCGTTCTAATTTTGGTGCATAGGCGTCTCTCTCTCTCTCTCTCTCTCTCTCTCTTTCTCTCTATCTATCTATCTATCTATCTATCTATCTATCTATCTATCTATCTATCTATCTCTCTCTTTCCATGAGAGTTCTCGAAATTACGTTATATCATTTTTCACAAAATCTGGAAATAATAATCTACGGCGCTAATGATTTCGCGAGCATTATTTTACACTCTGAACGTAAAACCTAAATATAGTTTGCGTTTATCGCAAGTAATATCACGCGCATAATTACGCATGGAGTGAGGTACTGTAAATAAGCAATTATCGCAAAGAAAAAAGACAGAAGAGTATGAATCGAACGAAGAATATAAACGCGCGCTGAAACGTTGATAAGCCGACTATTTTAATTTTGCAACTGAATAAGAAGCGTATCAGTGATTACGTATCGGAGGATTGCCCGATCGAATCATCGGTCGTCTTTTCGCTCTATTTGACTAA